TATAGATTTATTCATTTTGATTAATTTTATGTATTTTATGTGTATGTATGTATGTATGTATGTATGTATGTATGTATGTATGTATGTATGTATGTATGCATAATTTCAGATTAGTGTTTTTGATTTTTTTGTTTCTTTTCTTTTTGTGTATGTGTTGGTACAATTGGGTTCGTACAATGGTTTTGATATGTCTGAAATGAATCAATAAATCAAATCAAATCAAATCACTTTCGTCAAATACATTTAAACTCAAATTTTCACATTACTGACTATATTCTAGTAAAGATTCCCTGTCTCAAGTCAGTTAGGATCACTACTTATTTTAAAAATGTAAAATTTCAGAATAGCAGTAGAGAGTAACTTATCCTTGTATTTATTTTATTATCAGTGGTTCAAAAGATTAGATACACTTATTTAGCATTTGGTAGCATTGCCTTTAAATTCTTTAACCTGGGTCAAATATTCAGGCAACATTCTGCAAGCTTCTCTTAACAAGTTCCTGGGGTTTTGGTCTATTTTTCCCAAAACCCCAGCCAGGGGCCGGTACTACGAAGCAACATCACCATACCTAGGATATTTTTCAGAGATCCGGTTTGACGAACCCTAACAACCACACTCAGGATAACTGGTCACATGACGGTGGTTACCAACGATGCGAATTTCTCCACTGTGAGATAAATAAAGGCATATCTTATCTTATCTTATCTTATCAACTCAGAAAGTCAACCCAGGTTTGTCTTATCTGAGTATGAGTACGTGCGCAGGAAATGGGTGGCATTACTGGCATTTACCAATCGCGACTATGGACAAGTCTGACTGCTGAGCAGCTCACTTTATCGTCAAGGAGAGGAATAGAATCTTTACAAAATATGAAGAATAATATAAAAACATCATTTGCGCAAAAAGCAGCACCATTGCAGTGGCCAAAGCCAGGAAGGAATGCTGGCAGAAAACTGCTGACTGCGTGAATGCACAAGTTCATTAGTTTACAAGATAATCAAATATGATCACTGTCCCATCATGAAGGCACGGATCAGACAACAAGCATATATGAGGATTCCTTTTAATTAATTGTTGCCTAACGTATGTACTTGTGGCATATTTGACATGTTTTTACTATCAGCTGAGACCCTGGCGGGGTAAGAAGGACGTGGGAACAAATTAAGAACAAACATAAAAACATAATTCAAAGCGGTGTTGGCTTATTAACGTATCCTACAAATACAAGCTCTAATGCTAAAATTAGTTTACTGCTGTGGGGTGAAATTGGTATGGAAGAAAAATATGAAATAGCTGTAACATTGTCTGTAGCCAACAGGAATAAAAATGAATAAAGGAAGACAGGAACTCATAGAGATGCTCGTCAGGGTGCACTAAGGGGTTTTGCCTGTCCTGAAAAACCCTCACAGTGATCCCCTCACAATTCACTCTCTGATGTGTAGTGGGTTTTCTATAAATGGTGATGCCATTTTGTTGAGAACTGCTTTGTTTTCTACTCCTTTGAAGTTTTACGGGAGAGAATTTATTTTCAGTGGGCAGTGCTTTTATACCCAGTGATCTCAATCTCGAAACTAACCTTCTGCAGAGCAGGATAGCCGTTCAGCGTAAGCTACCATGGCGATGTACCCCGATAAGAAGTGAACCACCGGGGCGCCCCTATAGCTCACCTAGTTGAGCGGGCGACCCATGAACAGGGGCTATAGTTCCCCGATGTAGCGGCCATGAGTTCGAACCCTTTGCTGCAGGTCTGTCCCCATTCTTCTCCCCCCTTTCCTGTCTCTCTCTACTGCTCTAAATAAAGGCAAAAAGCCAAAAAATATATATTTTAAAAAAAGAAAGAAAGAAGTGAACCACCATCGTAGGACTAAAAACCCAGGATTTAACCTGAAGTTACCTCGCTAACCCCAAATCCTGCGTTGTAGTACAGGCCCCAGGTGGGACCGAGTCAGGTTTGTTTTCATGCTTTTTCAGTTCAGCCCATCAATTTCTATTGGAGTGAGGTCAGGGCTTTGCGACGGTCACTTCAGTATCCAGACTTTGTTGTCATTAAGTCATTTTGCCACAAGTTTAGAAGTATGTTTGGGGTCATTGTCCACTTGTAGGAGGAATCTGTCCTGTCACCATGGACATGGCAGATTTATATCCTCTGTTGTGTAAACTGGCAGCTCCACCACCTTTACTGCTGTCGTTGTTGGTGGACCACCTGGTTCTACAACAATTCACACCTTGAGGCACGTGAGTCATTAAAGGGCCAATAGCCATGTAAGCTGGACTGACTATAAATTGCGCAAGTCCCTATTAATCAGTTAAAACTGAAGAAGTTTCTTGGATGAGAGATGAGACGTCTTCCAGAACTCATAGTCATCCTCAAATTTATTCATACCCTTCGATTAAAGAAAAGGCAAAATTCACATTGCAATCTTATTTGTCCCAGACAAATAAGAGCACTTTGCTGATGAGCAGTGGGCCAAAATACCTGTTAACAGGTGCAGAAGTCTGACTGAGAGTTACAGAAAACACTTCATTGCAGTGATTGCCTCAAAGAATTGTTGAACAAAATATTAGTTTATGAGTCCCATTATGTTTGTTTGCTTGTTTTTTTTTTTGTTTAAAAAAATAAAAAATAAAAATCTGTTAAACCACGATTCAAAAGCAATGTCATGATTTTCATTAAATTTTAATTTATTATTATTTTTTGTTAATTTCAACTTATTTCAGTGACAGCTGTTTTTTTTTCCTTCTTTAATGGGAGGGTATGAATACATTTGAGTATGCGTGTACACGAGTATTTGTAATCAAGCTGATGAACAGCTGGATTTGAACAAACTTGATTTCAACAAATGTGGTAAAAAAAACAGTTGTTGGAATTTAAGTCCTCAGACCATCAAAAGAATAAAAAGAGTTCAGACAAGTTTATGAGTAACACCCATTTGGGTTACTGGATGTTTGTTATCAATGTTTTGACAACTTTCAACAAGACAGCATAATATAAAACATGACACAGAGGTCTGGTATGCAAACTCTGAGCTTATGCCTACCATTCTTACCAGACAAACACACCTCCTGTCAAATATTAACAAAGAATAGATTCACAGTTACTACGGTAAGTGACTGGTATGATAAAGTACAGACACTAAAAAATGCATGAAGGCCTTTTTAAGCTGGTAATAGAAAGTTAAGTGAATTTCCCGACACACCGCTGTAGCCTTTCAAATTTTACGGCCTGTGCATGTGTTATATAATTGAAACTTGTCCTATTTAAACTTTAGAAACATAGGTTAAAATAGCACTTTGTTTCTGAATTAACTATGTAAGGACAGAGCAAGACAAGTGAAAACTAATTTTAAAAGGATATTTTTTAAAATGTTCACATTTGTTTTGCAGAATTTTCTCCTTACCGCAGAGGCACTGGCAGAAAGCACGTAGTTGCGAGGTCTGGTCTCCTGAAAATCTGGGGCCATCTAAGGAAACAGTAAAATTAGTATTACATTTATACCCTTGTGTCCTCAGTGTATATATGACAACCGTGTATCAAACCCATCAGAAAAAACACAGCAGAAATAAAACCATGATCTTGACGAGATACAATTTAAACTGCTAATATAAATTAGCCTGCATATTGTTAATATTAGAGGCTGATAATTCAGGTTTTCCGAAATATTAATACATTTGGTTATATATTAATATGATATCTATGTATTTATTTAAATTCAAATTTATGTAGGCTTTTTTTCCAAGACCAGAAAAAAAGAGGTTGAATGCAATTTTCTTTGCTGCATTAACTGACACTTAAATAAAAGTTGTACAATTAAGCCTTCATTTAAAAGGGCAGTTATGTGTCACTCCTGCCAACTGCAAAAATGGGTGAGGTTGTTGGTAGACAATAGACGCCAACACACTTTCATAACAGGTATACCTGAATCATAAAAGAAAGGTGCAGGGAGGTGATGAAACACAACTGTATGTAAACAACCTCTCCGGAACCACTGAAACTGATGACTAATCTGCTTATTTCACTGACCTGACTAGTCACCTGTAAATGGGACAGTCATTGATAATATTAGCTTTACGGGGTAGTCAGCTGCGGTGTATCATGCACATGCTAACATGCATACAGGTTGCAAAAGTCTGCCTTTGCCAGCCAACGAATGTATGGCTTTTTCATCATCACACTGTAAACAAAAGTTCTGGTGAAAGACAGACTTTTTTATTTTGTTCAACAGTGAAACAAAAACAAGCTTCAAGAAAAGTAGAAAAGGCTTTTAAGGAACATCCACTCCTATGCCATCGTGAAATGTGGATGATCAATTAGGACTCGACTTCCTGCATATGACTGAATTTGGGCTCATGTAGTCGAATCAACAAAGGAAGCTAATTTCTGTGCAGATAAGAATTTGTATTGATGCAAAAAAGAAAGTCAGAGGTGAGCCCACACATTTTGGGCTGCACAGCCACCTGCTGGCAAAACAGTGTCATATTCTCAGTTTGAAGACTACTAAGGGCAAAAAACAAGTTTGCATATTTTGTTGTTAATAAGACAGCATATATTAAGACAACAGATAAAGAAACTGGTTTGATATAATTAGGACTCAACCACTGTGAATTTTAAATACCTTCTTTTATCGGAAATCTAATTTTAAAAAAATCTAATAATACCAATGATGGAAAGAATGATAAAAGTCAGATGCAATAATCAGCCGAATCGATAGTCAGCCAAACCATAGGTATTCTTTTTTTCTCTCTTTTTCTCTCTGAATTTGCACCCATTTCCCAGAGGGAAAAAAACCCTTTGGTTACAGGCCACAATGCCCGTATAATTTTCATAAATTCAACTAAATTCCTAGAGTCAATGAAGTGGAGTACGGTTGGATGGCCAATAACTTAAGCCCAAGTCAGTCTATATATAACATAACACAGTCCTGGAGGTATTATAATCCTGGACATTTTTCTCATCATGTTTCATTTATTAACAAGAGCAGAACAAGACAGCACACAGAAAGGTAATGTAATACTAATAAACCTTATTTTAGCTATTGTTTTTGTCATTTCTCTAACAATGAATAGTTGCAGAGAAAGTTTTTACACTGTCTTTTTTACATTTTAAAAAAAAAATCTTGTGTCATTTCTTTTCAACAGAAACTGTTAAAATTGGTAAGGAAAGTTAACTTTATTAGGTTTAACTGACAACAGTAGATGTGTTCATAGACTGTACTGGTTTTTATTTATTTGCTTCCATGATGTAACAAGTTATGAATATGGCTGTGTTAGCACCACAGTTTGTTGTTTTTGAAATGCCTTCATGCTAACGTGCAACACCTGAAACGTTGCAGTTCATTTGCAGTACATTTTATAAATATTCAGGTAAAGCTTAAAATAAATGTAAGATCAGGAGTCATAACTAACCAAATATTTTAGAAAATTGGAAAAAACAATTGCAACTGAATGACTTTCTATATCCACTACTGTTATACAAACATTAAGAAATGCTTAATTGAGATAAGCAGTAGGTGGCAATAATTCTCCAGTCACTTGCAGAAAAAGAGGGATGAGATGTCGAGATGAAAAGAGGGCCAGTCAAACTTCAAATTCAGGAAAAAAAAAACAATAAATATATTCATGTGATGAAGAGTTTGGAGACGGATAGCACACTGGAAAATGAAAATGTTGGAACTAATACTACGGCTACATGCTCTTGGAAGAGTACTACCCAAACCAATTTCCAAGACACCTTGTCTTGTTTATCTTTTACAGTTGAAACTAGAAGTTTACATACACTGTATAAAAAGACACATAACCTTTTTGTCAATATCTGACATTAAACATGACCAAAATTTTCCTGTTTTAGGTCATTTGGAATTACCAAAATGTTAAAAGGTTACATGTCTTTTGTGTATGTAAACTTGTGGTTTCAACTGTATCAACACACATTTTGTTTCCACCTCTTCTGAGCATAAAAAGCTTTTTTGCAATATTTCAGATTATTATCATTATTTTTTAGAGTTTTTAACATTCCCACTTAGGTATTTTTATGTGCAAATTGAAAATGCACATAAAACAACTGAGTGAAAATGCAACTTTAGAGACTGTTACAGAGTCCAAATCTCAAATTCTGTAATTTTATATTCATTTACAGGAAGAAAAAAAAAGTACATCTTTTCAATGTTCAAAGTCAACTACCATTTCTGAATACATTTCTATATAATAAAACCAATGATCACAAACGAATAAAGGCGCATGGATCTGAACAAATAACTTTATGTAGATCCGTTCTGTTGCTTTTAACTGAGACAATAACCTAACCTGAAATGGATAATCAGACAACTAATAAAGTATTTTCATGCCTGCTACTTTTATATTTATTATTACAAAAGTACAATATACAGTCTTATCAGTCTTAAATTTGGCCAGTGGCTTCTGTTAATTTCCTAACACACCATGTAATATGCAAGGTTTCTCTGAAAAGAATCAACTTCAGGTCAGTGTTATTTTTTCAGTCCACTGCTTTGCTTTTTGGCCAGTCAATAATAGTTTCTTGCCAGAAAGAACTGCTTGGCACAGAAATTTCAATCAAAGCAAGTAAGACAGGAAAAACAACCCAAGGAGTGCATCATACTGAAAGTCTATAAAAATGTTTGATACTCACTTCACCCTCGCACTGCAAAGGTTATGAATATACAGACAGTTAGTCATGGTTAATGCGAGAACCACCAAACGCTTATCATCAGGAAGATTGTGGGAATGAGTGTGGGGATATGGCTATGGGTTTGGAGGCACTAAAGGACTTACCGCAGCTTTAGCCTCAGCCATCTTTGCCTTCTTCAAACGTGTTTTACAGGCATCCAGATCAAGGCGAAGATTCTCCAGAAGACGTCGTTCTTTCTACAGTAATGAAATGAAAATGAAAAATTCAATTTAACATTGTAATGATTGTAACACAACCAGTGAGCGGTTAAGCTTAGCGGAAAGGAAGTGCAACCATGAATAGTGGCACAGCATGATACAGCATGATTCATGGGTTTACATGCTACATTTCAAGGAGGCTATAATGGGCCTCCTCAGACATAGAACATATTGGACATACTGCACAATTAAGTTAAGTAACTTTTATTTATATACCATATTTAAAATAACAGACACTGACCAAAACTGCTTTCCAGTGGAGTCATACAAAAGCTGACCTCTGGGGGCTAAAATCATATTTTTACAGTAAACTGTGAAATCCAGACTTTAAACATATTGGTGCAATACGTTTCCTAACCATGTCTTAAAATTGTAGCTCAATCTATGCTGTACTGCACATAGCATGCAGTCGAAATGTAATTGCTAAATGTATACGACTGTAAAAGCAAAGACTACAGAGCTTTTCTTTAAAATTATTATTATTTTTTTTAATCTTCCCTTCTCCTGTCTGTCAGCAATTTTAACTGATGTCAGTGAACGAAAGCACAGGCAGCCCAAGCTAGTAGAGCACGCACGGTATCTCTACAACCTTAGCTCTGATGTGTAGCAACAGTTTTTGAGAGGTGAATAGCAGCAACAACCCAGGTTTTCTACCTTTTGCTAGGCCGTCAATTAAGTTAATTTATAAGCAGCTCATATTATAAGGCCATTTATGCAATTGACAAGTGAAAATGATTAATTGTCAATTGAGTAGTTGCTGTTGCTAATTCAACATATTAAAATATACTAAGTGATAAGGCAGAAGATGAGGTGTGATGGAGTAATGAGATGGAAGACTGCAGATTGTTTGCTGTGTTTGATGTTGTAGAGGAGCAGATGCGGCAGATGCTCAGACTACAGCCAGTTTCGTGTTGGACATGCAAAGTTCCACGGAAACGGTAACATTCAAATTCAAATTGTAAAAGGATTTCTTTTGTGACTGTCATTGAAGTTGTTTTGTGTTTAAATTTTGATTGTCGTGGATTGGTGGCTTTTGGTGTTTGTTTGGCTGAGAGCACGGATTCAGCTAACAATGGGCCACCATGATAGAGGCTTCTGTAGCAGTAAATAGCCTCTGACCAGCAGCCATATGTTGAAAATGAGCTGAAGTTTACCATGTCATAGCTGCATGCCTAATAAATCTGAGCCAATATGTGGCTTATAAGTTTCCACGGTTAAAAATGTTTTGTTTTAATGATTAATTGAATGATAATGTGACGTAAAATAGTTTTAAAATTGCATTCCTAGTTAAAACACAAAGATCTTTAAGTGGAGAGCCTAACATTTCCAAGCACTTGCCATTTTCATATATGCCCAGGATGGTCCATGTGGATGATATGAATGGCTATTCAAACAGAAATAGTGGACTAAATGTGGTGGTCCAGACTCACTGAAATGGTCCTCCAGTCTCCTTCCAGAAAGTTCCTGAGGGGGGTAAGAAAGCTGATGGCTGAGGTCTGAAGAAACTCCCTCTCTGCTGCTCCTAATCTTCTCTCACATTCCCCAACCTTGATCAAAGTGCTCCCTGCAAGAAGGAGATTGCTTTCATTTACACATTTTTTTTTTCACTCATCCCACATGAGAAGAGAGAACAAAGTAAGAGAAATTACCCTAGCTTTATATTATTTAGTACACAAAGGAGCTAGATGAGTAGCTCAATGGTTATCCCTCTTGATAGCCAGTATATGTCCTGATTTCCTCAATGCAGCTGTGCAAATGATTCTAAAGCATTAATCACTTATTTATGTGCTCAGTCAGCTGTAGTTACTAAAACAGCTCTTTTTCACTTCTAGTTAAATATTTGAGATTGTCAGTATGTTTTCATTTGTATGTTGTATTGCACCCATCAACTGCATGAGAAGCTACATTTAATGTTTTCGTATACTTAAAATAACCTGTAATACTTGCATGAAACAGTTCATGTCTCTTCCAAACAATGTGCTTTACATCCCTAGAAAAAAATCTAGCTGCTAAGTATAACAACTGAAGATGAATCTTGTTGGTTAAGTTGAATACATCTTTGCATGTCTGTATGTACAGTCAGCTAATTACAATGTGATTATTTAGGGCTTTCAGTTTACTTAATTTTATTGTCCATCATGACACAAGCCTTTGTTTTAATGTAAAAAATGAATTACAAAAGTCAGAGTATTACTGCTCATCGTTCTATAAATATGCATTCTGCTCACATTTAAATGAAAGCCATGTGTTTAAGTCATTGTTTCATTCTGCATTCAGTCATAGAAAAAAGCGAATGCAGGTGCACTCCACATGTCAAGAGAAGATCGCATTTTTAAGTATAAATACCACAGTCCACCGATGTCATAAAAGTACTGCTTTCCACCACTGTGGTTAACGCAGTAGCTCCCTGCGCCGGTTACAGCGATACCAATACAGCTTAATGATCATCATGCACTCGTACGATTGCGACAACTTGAAATTTCAGCTCGCATACTCTCAAAAAAAAGGTTGCAAATGCAACCAAAATGGTCACAGTGTGGAGCCCTATATATCTTCATCATACAAATATATTAAGCAGTGCTGACAGATTTGTTAACCAAAAATAAGGTCCCTCAGGTTAAGAAAATCCATGCTGTATGGGCTCTAGTTATTTTCTTATGCAAACAAAGGGCTTGTCTATAGCTTTTGATAGCCAACTTCAGATAGCAGGAGGGGCAGAGTTAGATAATCTTTCAATATGGTAGGTAGACTTTGTGACAACCCCAAGTGGAGTGGGGTTGTTCATGTTGTTTGTATGGGTTATACTGCTTGTATGTGGTGTTTTGCTGGCCCTCTCTCTCTCCTCTGTTGCAGAGCGCGACTGATAGGTCTCAGGTGTGTGCATCGCAGTGGGCGGGCTCTGTCTTTAAGACACCTGTGGAGTCCGCCGTCCTTCTCTTGGCTTCTCATTCCCGGCCTGATCCTGCGGCTCACCGGTTCTCCTTATCATTTTGCACCCAACACGCACACACACACACATACACAGCCATGCACCCGCACTCACTACTGACATGTGACATTACAGACACAGATTGTTGAGGTTCTGTATCCTTAGTTTCTGTTGTTTACGCTTTGTTAATAAATATCATTTTGCAGTTACATTCCCTCCTGCGTTTGTTTGTCAGAAAACCGAGTCAGTTCTGACAACTTTTTCTTATGAACATGGTCTTATGTACAAACTGCATTTGTACCTGGCTGAGATGCACTCACAATGCAACCAGGGTCAACTCCATGCGTGGTCTGGCAAATTAGATTCCATCTGCTATGTGTTGTGCATATATTTACACCTTTTTTAACATGCATTTTCCCTATCCAGACACAGATCTGATGCTAGGTTCTAAAACAAGTCATAATCTGACCAACTAAAGAATCTCTTCAGGTGCTTGCATGCTCACCATAAGGACTTTCAGAACCAAATTCCTTTGCTGCATCCTCCATATACTGGCCCAGCAGCTCTCCATTGGTAACCCTGGAAGGTGCTTTCATGTCCAACTTTTCATAGAGAAACTCCTCAATTCTGGCACCTGCAGAGAAAGTCATGTAGAGTTTTATTCATGGCACAGCTGGGGGAAAAAATCAGGTGAAACCTTCATTTTACTTTAACCCCTCACACTGATAAAATTATAACTGTACCCAAAAATTCGAAACGGTGTGTCACCTCAACCCCTCCTGACAGTGCATAAACTCTAATAAATATACTAAAAACTACCTGCTCAGCACAACAGATAAAAGGAATTACAGAATGGATTGCATAAAGTCGATGCTCTAGCAATATAAACAACTACTTGTTTTCTTAAAAGTAATTTATGACAAAACAGGTAAAAGCAGAGAAAATTTCAGGCTTAAATTTAAGTTGGACAAAAAGGAGACAGTCATATAATAACTGTATTAAAGAACAATACTTGAGTAGATGTTTTACTTTCCACCTCTGTATTCTGATTTACCTGATGAAAAGGGATTTAATTAAATGTCACTGCAAACAGATAGCCAATGAAAATACAGCAGAAAAACAAGGAAAACAAAATGCCTGGAACAAAGTGCTACAATACAGAATTACCCAGAACGTCTCTAGCCGTATATGTAACCTTTCTGTAAGGGCATGAAAGTAAAAACTTTTACCATGAGGCATTGCAGGTTACGGTGTGATAAGAGAACACAAATGATTTTTGGGTATAGTTATTATTTAATCAGTTCATGAAAGGATTCGTTATTCAACCCCCTCATCTGTAAATGAAAAATAACTTTTGCGGAAAACATAAGGAGACAAGAAACATGAACACCTTGCAAAAAAAGTGGGTGGATTAAGTGCTGCTTGTGACAAAGGTCACAAGAAAATTCATAAATGGCACAGAATGGTTTTCTTCAAAATCAGAAAGTATTTTTAAAAAAACACAACCACTGAATTGAGTTAATATTTGTTGAGTCTCAACATCAATGTTCGTAAGGTTTTTGTTATTTTGTCCACTGCCTCTAATACAGTCAGTAATTAAACACCACATACTACAGCCTCAAAAATGTAACAAAAATTGAACAGAAAATCTTTGACACAACTCCAAGATTAGAAACTCTATTCATGTCAAAATATTACTGTGGTCTGTTAGCTTGGGTGATGGAATTGTATTCATACCAAACTCACTTTAATCATTCGTACTTTTCTGTAAATACAGAACCAAATTACTATATTTAATGTAAAAGGGGTTGGCCACCATGATGAGCAGAATCCCTGTTTGTTTGGTGATTCATTCTTGTACAGTCTTGTGAATCTGCTACATAAATTGAAATCAACAGATTTACCAGTGAGTTTGGTGTACATACTGCACTATAGTACGTACAGCTGAACGACTTTGAGGAGCATTGGTTGTGCATTACATGCATATCGCTTCAATGCAGCAGCTACAGCTAAGGCCTAGCACATAATGGAGTTCGCATATTGGAATTGGCCAGGTAGGACTGTAGGAAGAGCTACGATTTGGTTATGTCCATTTGTTGATGCTCACACAGACAGTTGTGGACACCATGTGTGTGTAGTTGTTGCTTTTCTCATCTGCTTGAGTGGGCTCAAAAGGCTCCATTTCATACATATGCAGTCAGTTCTGTCGACATATTCTGTGCATAAACACTACTTCAAAAAATGCATGCTAGTGCCCTTACAATGTAGCTGTATAATAGGTCACAATGCCACAGATGGGGCTCTAGCACCAGGTTAATCTGATTATTCCTGAAGTGTGCTTCACACAATGGGCAGACATAGAAGAGGATTTCTGAAGAATTTAGAACTTTCTACTGGGTTGGGGTACTGTCGATCGAAAGCATGTACAAATCAAAGCACAACCAAAGCTCAGCAGTGACTTCTTCAAATTACAACATATTTAATGACTATTCATACAGTCTCCTGTTATAAAAAGCTTTTGTTTTAGGCGCCATTTGTTATTCCTCAGTCAGCTTGTTTGCATTGCATTCAGTCCATGCGCTTTTGCATTCAGTTTATGGCTTTTGTTGACGACCAAACAGGGGTCTAGGTTGGACCATTGAGGGCCTGGATGGATGCCGAATTTTTCATACGTTACACAAATTCTTGCGGATCTTTGTGGACATTTTGATGTAGAAAGCATGAATTGGCCTTAATACTGACCTTAAGGTCATCTACCATTTGAAGATGTGAATGTTTAATCAAACTACTTAGGATGTCAACCAGGTCCCACAAAAAAAAGTACTCTGACTATTGTGGCTTTATTCTAACACAAACCTGATTCAAACTAGTCCCATGTATTATCTAGTTTACAAGAAAATAGTGAAACAGATACACTACTTGTCATTATAAGAACACCACCCATTTCTATTGTTTGTTATGTAGAATATCATGGAATAGCCAGGTTTAGTAAGTTACATAAACATAGTTAAAGTAAAGATGTTTTCTACAAGTACACTGAACCAAAGCTAATTATTATGCCACTCTCCCAGAGAGAAACACATCTGACAAACAAGCTTTAGATTTGTGTATTTTCTGTGGAAGGACATTCTCTGAAAACGATTTATAAAATACAGAGCTCCGTTTCACGTTTCCTTATAATTTAAGAATAATAAGGAAATGAGCTGAGACAAGAAGTCCGAATGAGGACATCTTTACTTTGGTTCACATTCTCGTTTTAGAGTTACTCTGTAAAATTGATTGTTTTTTTGTTTTTTTTTAATAATCACTTCATACTGAAATACTTGTTATAAAACACACATTTCTTGTAAAGCATACTGTATTTTTGCTAAGTTTTAACCATACAAAACTGATTTTATCATTAATTACTCAGTGATACAAGGGGTCATGACTTATTTTGGTCAAACTGATGCAGGGGATTCACTCAGGGGCAAGATGACTACTAATAAATCAATTAGCTAACTGGCTAACAAATTATACCGTATGTACATGTGGAAAACTGTGTAAGACACATTCTGCAACTGATGTGCAGGAAAATTCACAAAAACAATTTGGTATTCCACAAACACACACATCACTACACACTACTACAGATAACTATAAAAAGCTGGAGAAATGAAAATAGCAGTCCAACTCGTAAGAGATGATGTGAAGAATATATGGATAACCATGATGAGAGTGAACTGTGTTTCAATGGCAAAAATGGTAAAAATGACAGCAGCTAAATTCCTACTGGAAGCTGAAATCATGCCGTGTTTCTGAATTAGACTCTGTTCCACTGACTGTCAGTGTAATCAACTACAGAAAGTTTCTTTTGTCTTTCTTTCCTAACTGGTGAAATATTGTTTTCATTGTCAAATGTGTGGTTTTCCGTCCATATCAAAAGCTTTACTACTGTACTAGCTAATACAGGTAACACCAGAACATTTTAAGGAAGGAAAAACTATTAGCATTCAACTACTACAACTACCAAGCACTTTTTGTAGAACAGTAAGGCCAAGATGTAAAAGAATGCCCTTCATCTATACATAAATAAAAAATGTATCGACTCACCAATTTACCTACACATGTTTTTGGACTACACGAGAAAGGAACTTATGGAAGTACAAAAAAGAAACTGTTCTTTTGGCACTGTCTGACAGAGCAGGTTATATTAAAAGGCTTTATCTATTTCAGCATATTGATTGAAAATACAGTCAGTTTTGAAATGGATTGTAATTTGTTGTCATAAACCCAGTTCTAGAATTGCATCGTGTGTGTATGTGTGTGTGTGTGCGCGCGCTCGTGCATGCATGTGTTTGTGTCATTACAATCCAGAAGACAACAACTACAATAGGAATTACCACAAAGTTTGAGTATTCTGGTGTGTATTGATGTCTGTGAAGATTCTCAGTCATTCTCAGACATTCAGGTGTGTATTGATGTTTGTCTGTGAAGCTGTCTTTTTGTCAATGTGCAACAATCATACAAGATACAGTCACAAAACTTCAGAGATGTATAGTTGAGATCACAATTAAGGCCATGCTCAAAGACGAGTATGATCCGTGTGCTCACTGAATACTCAGATACTAATGTAGTAAGGATTACTGAGTACTCATGGGCCAGAAGGTTGACATACTGACTGCACTATGGCTGGTGCAATCGCATTACAAGTTTGTCTCAAGTTCTATTTTTAACCCTGTCTGATATGTTGTCTTCTCTGTAACCGTCAGTCATTTCATTATCTGATGGAATAAAATTTGTAAAAAATAAAACAATACTTGTAATTTAGGTCCCTGTGATCTCTGGCATCAGTTTCTTTAACAATATATCCCACTTTTACTATATTTTGTCCACACAATGCCTAGGAGAGCTTGAAGAACATTTTATCTACTGTAAACTTTTTTTCAATCTTTAAGTTCATTTAATTAATGTGAAACTGACTGAATATTTGAACTGTTCATTTGACTTTTTGTGATTTTTTATGAGTAGCAATATTGATTAAAAATGGTACGAAAAGTGAATTTCTTTATCTGTATCGAGTGGTGGATTAGTGAGTTTCAATGTGTATTTTATGTTGCAGTTGTTCCACTGGCTACCCTGAGTAATTAAACTTAAAGTTTGATTCAAGCATGTAAACTTAAAGCAGGAAAAAGGAGCATCTACAGTGTACAGTATATCATGTTCTTGACTTTGATGTAACAAAATCTAACTAGAGACTGTCTTGCAATAGGATCACACCAGCCACCAGCATGTGGACGTCAAAACCCATGAGTGCTCAGTAGTTGTTATTACATGATTACATAGGCACTTAGTACCCAAGGGTCATACCGCACACATCTTCAAACTCAGCCTTCATTTTGACATCAACTACACTTGTAAAGTTTTGTGACTGTATCTGGCAGACATACTGTATAAACACCTGCCAAAGTACTCAAAACTGCTTTTGTGGTAGTCCCTGCTATATTGTATCTCCAGAACCACATTTTGCCATTACGACACACACAGACAGAGTCACAAGGTAAAAACAACACCAGCTATCAAATAAATGCTTAGATCTGACAAGCCAAAGAAGTAACAGATCCTCTTCTACTTTTGAATATGGACAGAAAACCCCAAACATCAAGCATCAGCCTAATGGAAAGATGAAAATTGGAAAGACGAGACAGAAAATCTTCTTCATAATAGAAATAATACAGTTTCAGCCTGAGGTCAGCCAAACAGAGGTTAAATGTGAAAAGGGGCAGGAGTTTGGCTTTCACTCAAAAACACACATTTGGCCAATCACTTGTGTGACAGAGCAGTTGTCATCTTTTGTTAACTCGTACATTAGAGGTCAGCACTGATGTCATAGTGATGCTCTGAATCTCTGAGAATTTAAAAAAGTATTTCACAGCTGATATCATCACCAAGTAATTGACTTGGTCCTGTTGATGTTTATCAACAACTTCTCTGCACTAATAATTCAGAGGCATGAAAGATTTCCACAGCAGGGCACTAGGAGTAGGGAGGCAGAATACTCACCAGTATGATCAACTGTGGCATGGAGAATCAAAAAGTCACAAGTTAGAGCCCCCTACTCTCGCATGATTCATTCCATAACACTATTTACCCATAAACATTGCCAATAAGCTACTTTATGCAAAATGCCTTTGACACTGCCCAGTGTTTCACAACTGTCTGGCATTTGGAATGAAGTCATGTGAGTTACTGTGCAAGACTGATTCAGAGATAACTTCTTTTTTTTTTCTTTTTTTTTTTTGCATCAGAGTCAGTCCTTTAGTTAGTAGTACGAGGACCTTTCCAGAGATTTTTGCACGTTGTAGCCTTTTTACTGCAAATTCCATGGGTAAAGGTGCAAGCTAGTCCCATTTTAAAGCTGCCCTGAGGAGTTTTTGACTGCTAGTTATACTATGGAGCAATATTTCAAATGTAGGTTGTTTTGTTTGTATAGTGCATGAGAACACAAGAAACATGAGCCACACTCTTGAAGCCAGTTTCAGTCTATTCTGCTGATCGATATTTGGTAAGGGCACTACACAGCAATGCGCCAACAAACCAGCAAAGAAAAATACATTTAAATATTTAACAGATAACTTTGAAAATGTTTTATGAAGAAGGAAACACTTTCATTACATTTGTTAGACGTCAAAGATACACACAAGGCATTTGGACAGAAACACTGACTGTACATATACATTCACCGGCCACTTTATTAGGTACACCTTGCTAGTACCAGGTTGGACCCCCTTTTGCCTTCAGAACTGCCTTAATCCTTCGTGGCATAGATTCAACAAGGTACTGGAAACATTCCTCAGAAATTTTGCTCCATATTGACACGATAGCAACACGCAGTTGCTGCAGATTTGTCGGCTGCACATCCATGATGCGAATCTCCCGTTCCACCACATCCCAAAGGTGCTCTATTGGATTGAGATCTGGTGACTGTGGAGGCCATTGGAGTACAGTGAACTCATTGTCATGTTCAAGAAACCAGTCTGAGATGATTCGCGCTTTATGACATGGCGCATTATCCTGCTCGAAGTACCTATCAGAAGGCACTGTGGTCATAAAGGGATGGACATGGTCAGCAACAATACTCAGGTAGGCTGTGGCGTTGACACGATGCTCAATTGGTACTAAGGGGCCCAAAGTGTACCAAGAAAGTATCCCCCACACCATTACACCACCAGCAGCCTGAACCGTTGATACAAGGCAGGATGGATCCATGCTTTCATGTTGTTGATGCCAAATTCTGACCCTACCATCCGAATGTCGCAGCAGAAATCGAGACTCATCAGACCAGGCAACGTTTTCCAATCTTCTATTGTCCAATTTGGTGAGCCTGTGCGAATTGTAGCCTCAGTTTCCTGTTCTTAGCTGACAGGTGTGGCACCTGGTGTGGTCTTCTGCTGCTGTAGCCCATCCGCCTCAAGGTTCGACGTGTTGAGTGTTCAGTGATGCTATTCTGCATACCTCGGTTGTAACGAGTGGTTATTTGAGTTATTGTTGCATTTCTATCAACTTGAACCAGTCTGGCCATTCTCCTCTGACCTCTGGCATCAACAAGGCATTTGCGCCCACAGAACTGCCGCTCACTGGATATTTTCTCTTTTTCGGACTATTCTCTGTAAACCCTACAGATGGTTGTGCGTGAAAATCCCAGTGGATCAGCAATTTCTGAAATACTCAAACCAGCCCGTCTGGCACCAACAACCATGCCACGTTCAAAGTCACTTAAATCACCTTTCTTCCCCATTCTGACGCTCATTTTAAACTGCAGTAGATCGTCTTGACCATGTCTACATGCCTAAATGCATTAAGTTGCTGCCATGTGATTGGCTGATTAGAAATTTGCGTTAATGAGCAGTTGGACAGGTGTACCTAATAAAGTGGCCAGTGAGTGTACTTGTTTGGTCTCCACACGGCAACTTTAAACTCTGCTAACACAAATGTGATGCCTGCATAACTTTACCTATACTGAAATACAACAGTTTAAGTAAAGCCTTAAACTCCTCAAATGTTAAGAAGACAAGTGCATTTCTTGTCCTTTATAGCTGTCCTGCAAACACACTTGGGGCAACTGCCATGTAAAACTAACAAGACAAGATGCCTTGTCAACCCTCAGGACATACGGTAAAACTGAAACAGCTTGACAGCTTGTCTTCAGGGGGATCCATTTAGGTTAAGTAAATCACTCTTTATTATTATATAGTCATGGTATATGCTTTGGAATAGAGTCATGAGGAACACAATTATTTGTTAATAGGTTAAAACATGCTATGCCAATGGTGTGGTCTTTTAAGCACAGTATGTTTTACTTAAGTACTGTGCTGACTATTGTATTGCCACCACTATACTAACATATGCTATAATAGTGTCTAATTGTACGATGTAATTACACCAGACAATAGCAAAAAAAATTAAATTCACTACAGCAGACTGATATTTTATAAATGAGTAACAACAGATTTTAAAAAAACAATAACAGTGTTCATGTTGCAGCCCTTTTGCGCCTTTTTTGGCCATAGCTTAACATCTATCAATCCACTATCTATACACTGCTTAATCCTCTGTAAGGTTCCACCTGGACACATCGCCTGTCCATCACAGAGCCACCACGGCTCAATATCAGATATCATATTACATCACCCTAGTGTAATTTTTTATCTTGCTAAGTTTTTAAACTAGCTAGGAAGTCATTCGGATTTCCCAATGTTGATACTAGTGACAACCACGAGTCACTTATACTCTTTACATGACTGCCTGTGTCAACTCTAGTCATCAAAAGGTTTGTGTTTGACTACTCAGTCATGTTAAATACTACAAACTTAAATAATATACGTTATTGTAGCCTAAACATTGTTTAATTTTTTAGTGTGCCAAGTCAGGCTATGCTTTGTTGGTCATTTTTACTAAATATTACACAGTATAATGAACTGGTTTTCTTATTCAACATTACATAGAGTATATTGTGTAAGCTGTGACTAATTCGCTTATGTTACTTTTGACAAAAGTCATCTAACCTATGAACGAAAATCAATCTAGGAGTAATTCTGTTTATAGAGAATATGTACTCTGGGATACTTTGTCCATGTCTAATTATAGGATTTCTATGTTGATGTCATACTTGGGTTGGGCTGCAGTAGGACCTCAGTCTGTCTGAAGATTTTCTCTGTCCAGTGTTTGGTGCAGTCTGCACGGCTCATCAGGTTCTCAAAGTGAGCGTCCAGCTCAGTCTTCTCTGCTTGGCCCAGTTTTTCTTCTGTGAACTGAGACAGAGCACACACACAACACAAACTGTCACAACTGAACTACTGTAACACATCTGTTGTTTTTCTCTGGGTTTTAACAGAGGTGTTACAAGGGCACCATATGGACTTTAGACTTAATCAGTCATTATATATATATATACACACACATATATATGTGTATATATATAATATGAGCATAGATTTCAAAGGGCGATGCAGTGGATATGTCTCTTTTAATATCCAGACGTGTATTTTTCCCACCCAACATGAAGCATGAAAGAAACAGAAAATGTTTAAGCTTTGTTTGAAAAAACAAAAATAAAAACAAAACAGGGGATACGTGACATTTTTGGTTCATTTGACCATTAAATTGACAGTCATTCAATTTAATTCTGAATTCTGTCATTCAAAAAAATTTCACTTTTCCGTTCATGTTCCTCACTTCTTCATTCACACCTTCCTACCACAGGAATGGACAGAGCCACAATATGCACGCATATTTGTAATAAATGTGAGATTGTCCGGAGCATTTAGTGATGTATAACATACAAGGTGTGTCAGAAAGGTTCCAGTACTGGTGTCAGAAAGGATATATTTCAAACCCAAACTACAAACTACGAGTTTTCCCCTTCCAACGATCAACCAGAAAGTCTACAAAGAGATCCTGCCGCGTTTGTATTGTTCAGTGCTAGAGAAGAGGCGAGAGTTGTGGCAGGACAAGTCGTGGCTGCTTCACCATGACAACGCGCCTGCTCACAACGCCCTGAGCATCCGACAGTTCCTGGCTGAGAAGAACATCTCTGTGCTGGAGCAACCTCCCCACTCACCCCACATGGCTCCGTGGGATTTTTTCCTCTTCCCCAAGCTCAAGGGGGTCATCAAGGGGACCCATTTTGAAGACGTGGACGACATCAAGATGGCTGTAACAACGGAGCTGCGGAGGATCCTGGAAGAATCCTTCCAGGAGTGCATGGCGGTGTGGCAGAGAAGGCTGGGAAAGTGTGCTACACTCCAGGGGAATTACTTCGAAGGGGAAAACTTATAGTTTGTAGTTTGGATTTGCAATATAACTTTTGTGACACCAGTCCTGAAACTTTTCTGACACACCTTGTATAAACATCCATCCATCCATCCATTATCTATACACCGCTTAATCCTCACTAGGGTCGTGGGGGGGCTGGAGCCTATCCCAGCCAACTTAGGGCGAGGCAGGGGACACCCTGGACAGGTCGCCAGTCTATCGCAGGGCCACACTTAGAGACAGACAACCAAGCACACTCACATTCACACCTACGGACAATTTAGAATCACCAATTAACCTCAACATGTTTTTGGACTGTGTGTGTATAAACATGCAACAATAAATGTAGGACTAAATGTAAACTATTCCTCTATTAACAGTAAAATTAAAAAATATCCAGACAGCTGCGATTGAACTCAGGACTCAACCTGTGGATGCTAAGCAACAAATGATTTAACTGACTGTGTGTGACAGCGCACTTGTCTGAGGTGAAGAAAAGTACACAGTGTGACTTACTGTTTGATTTTGATCAATCCTGTTGTCATGTTAGGAATAATTTATAACTATAAGTAATTCATGAAAATGCTGTTGTTGTTTCTTTGTTCCACATGCGTAAATACACTTAACTGTCTCTTTGGAGACACTCATATCGATCCTGATGCTGTCTGATGCTGCAAGTATTTGATCAACTCAGACGAAAGACTCCAACAAACAGCTGGAAGCAAAAACTAAACATTTTGTTGATGTTTGTCAAAACCCAGGTTATGTTTGCTTTTTGATTTTGAACAATACTGGTGCCGAAATGTTGAAAAAGCATCTCAGTTACCATTACCTAGCTGTTGACTTCATACAGTTCAGACTTGTGCTGTGTTGAAAGTGATACAGAAAATTACAAGGTCCAGCCCAGCAATACCCCTGTCATAACTTCAATGGAAAAGTGAGCACAGTGCTCATTTAGACATGGTCACATAGATGGTAGATTAATGAAAAGGAGTGCATGTCTAAAAAGGGCTACATTTTGAAATAAATAAACTGCTGAAATATTACATATCATAGATGCCATGCAAAAAGTGGACAACTTAATGCATAAAAATATCACCAGAATGCCCTAAATTAAGTGTTTAACGCCTATAACCTGCTAGAGGAGGACCCCAGACCCCCACTGAACGTGCCCCCCGATGTTCAAACCAACCTACGCCCGTGTCGTGACGTCGTGACGGTTTACGACCTGCTCACGCTCACTTGTCATCCTTTACCGTCCCATTTCCCCGTCACACTCTAACTTATCAGAAAGAATAAAACTCACTGTGTAAATTGATAAGCTCTTTCAAATGAGTCAATAATCATTGTATTTTAGCAAGCGCTACGCTAGCTTGCTGTCGTTTTCCTTCGTGGCTAACAGCACTGCCAGTGACAGCATTTGAACAGCCCTATGTTTCACTACAATGGCAGTGTTTTGACCCGGCCTCAACTACGAGCAGCTGAATATTGAGAAGCTGTATCTATTTCTTGCTTAACCGTAACGTGACATTCAGCAAAGCCACATACTGCGAAGTCAAGTAGCCAACTGCTGTGCCAAAAATTAGTAACGCTACTAACAGCTGGCTGTCAAAAGTAAAAGGAAGCATCATCCAAACCGCAGCACTTTGACGGACATTTCATTACCTGGACAGCTCGTGTGAAAAACAATCCAGCACCGGAGGCTAATTTCTTCACGTTGAAATCCATTGTGTTAATATCTGTTAGCTACTGATGTTACACACTGTGTGGAATACTCAATACCAACGGCTGGATGTTATGGCACACGCTAACAGTCACGTGACCCCAACAGACGAGGCCTTGTTACGTCAAATTCATCCTTCCACAGAAATATTAAAAGCACAGCTTTAAACTTCTTATGATATTGGTGAGTGTCTATGATATAAATATGATAATACCATGTAAAGGTGAAATGCATTAACTCCATTTAGCTTTTCCCTGAAATGCAGTACAACGGTTTGGCCAACAGTCGTCGCCATTTTTAAATATCGAATGCAGCAAAAAAAAAAAAAAAAAAAAACATGGTACAGCGCTACATCACATTCGCCTGTACCCGTGATACTTATGGTCCCGGTTTTTACTAGGAAAACGACAAGACCACAATAAAGTCACAAGATGTAGACTCAGCATGCGTGCATGTCGTTTACTTGTAATCCAATTGCTTGCCTCATTTTTGCAGCATTCCTGTCCTTCTTTTACTGTGGTACCTGAATGCACCATCACGCTGAGCGATGACGCAAGGACGCACGGATCGTCCAGGCAGGGCTGGCATACATGTGAGTTTTGTTGATAATGGTTTGTTCTGTGGATATTCGATTTTAAATAAAAAATAAATTCACTTTGGATATTTTTTTTGCTTGCATAGAGTATCTGTATACTATCATGAGTGTTCGACTATTGAAGATTTGCCTCGCGTGAGACAACAATGAGTTAATTGTAGCTTGCTAGCTAGCTATTCAACTGATTATATAGTTAGCTTACAGAAAGTTAGCTAGGCATTTAGAGGTCTAACGTACTGCTTGATGGACTCATATGAGTGGAACTTTGTTTTCACAGTTGAGATATAAAATTAACTAATTTCACTTTCTTAGTTTTTGGACCAGCACAGTAACGTTATGCAGAGCAGGCGGCCATGGCTTGGAAGTCTAGGACACGCAGTCTACAGGTGTTTGACACGGAGCTGAGTGCGGACACAGTGGAGTGGTGTCCTGTTCCACCGAACCACGACATCCTGGCCTGTGGGACATATCAGCTACAGAAAGGGGTGAGATTACGTACTATACATACCACTATCTCTTGTCCAAACAGTACCTCAGACCACCGCAGATGATCTGTTTACGTTCTTGATTTGTTCAAAAATAATAACGTTTCGGTGTTCCTTTTCTACAAACATGGTATTACACATTGTTGTCCTTATTACTTGCATGCAAACTCAGCTTTCACAGTACAATATTATTGATTTTGCTACTCTTTGAAACACATTGCACGAATAGAACCAGAAGTAAACGGTTGAAATGCTTACTTTCAGCTTTAATGGCAAGGCTGATGTACCAACAGATACACTGGCCTCAGAAACCTGCAGTCCAGGTGCCTTTTGCTGCTTGATTTGTGTACATGTGTTTGTCAGTTTCTTATTGATAATTCAGGATTTAAGCACAATATCAGCTGTCACAGTAAGTTACCTATGACTGAGGCGCAGTGTATTTTGTATTTAATCAGTTCATCGGGACTGCATACTTGATGCAATTTAATAGTTCAACACAAGAAAAGTGAGGGAATGGTGTTACTTGGTGCTAGGGCACCATAATGGGGAAACAGAAGTTGGGGCTGTTCACACTTATTTGCCACATGTTGTTTATTTGAAGGGTTAGTACACTGTTATATTAAGCCAACATAATAACATCACTCAAGACATGCTAGCAGATCACCACTGTTACTCCTAACTCCCTTTTTTACACATAATCCTCAATTTTTTGACTCAGGGGTTTGAACATCTTCAAATTATGGTTGAAAATCCAGACTTAAACTTTTTACTTTCATTGTTAAAAATGTGTCGCAGACTTTCTGGGGACCCTTGCAATATTTTTACATTCACTAGCAATAATTTGCATGATCTTGCAATGTTCTTGCACTGCCTCACAATATGCTTTACATTCCTTGTGATCCATACATACAGTTTGGGTGTTTTTCCAGTCCAGTTACAACAAACTGGCTGTTTAGGGAAACACTCTGCAAATACTACAGATATTCATTTTAAAAGACTGATCTCAGACTGAATCAGGCTCTCGAATCCTGTTTAGAAGCGTTGGTGTAGCTGCTCTGCCTGGCATTGATGCTGAAGCTGCAATTAGAAACATGGTTGTTGTTCCAAACTACTGGGATTCAATCTGGGGTGCTGTGGATATGTCTAATGGTTATGATGTTAACCAGTGGTACTTTTATGACAGATTATTTATTTAGGAATTCAGAAATACAGTGGACACTCAGCCAGCAAAACTATCACTGTACCCCCACTACAACTGCATGTTGTCAATATTACATTGATTAAGCATACATATGTCACAGCCATAATTGTAGTATTGGCAACAGTCACACCTCAGGGTGTGCTGACTTTCTCTGTTGTCATAAGTTCATGGGCTTTAGCCAACCATAGCTAACTACAATAGTGGGTAGAGCGGTTTGCCCACTAATGGCAAGGTTGGCAATTCGATCTCCAACCTCGCTGCATGCCAAAGTGTACTTGCGTAAGATGCTTAATCCGAAGTTGCTCCCGATTGCAGGCGAGCATTTGAATGAGAGTGTGTGTGTGTTAATGAGAAATATCATGTAGCCTGTAGACCGTCACTGGTTGTGATTACAGAGAATTGTGCATTGTCAGCTGTAGCTGGTTAAATGCTTTCAGAGAGAAAACTAACTAATAGTCTGCTGCTTAGAGCTATTGTTATGATTGTGGCTGAAATCCATACAATAGGCATATATCCAACCACAGTTTAATTGTCATAGCCAGACAGAGCAGCTTTAGTTTTGCTTACAAGCAGCAGCTAAATACTTCTGGAGATTGTCTTTTAAAAATGAATGAAGAGCACTAACTGCATCAGTGTCGCATCATGTCTCCTTTTGTGGTATTTGACCAGAAGAAGGTAGAAACTGTGTATATCTGTGAAATATTATTCTTATTATTCGTTTGCCAGACTGTTCACGAAAAACTAATAAATCTCGAGGAATTTGGGAATATTATTTAAATGCTTTGAAATTATTGAGTTCTACATCAGTAAGTGATTCTAATTTTATTTGATAGTTTTGTGGTTTATTTATTGGGTATACTTTTTATAATCTTCCTTTTTCAGGCATTATTTAAGGTTACTTTATTAATACTCGTTGGTAGATTTGTAAATGATTAACTGTGCAGCCAACATCCTCTGTGGTTCTGCAGCAGGAACACATTGGGGCTACACCACTCATGCTCCTGCTGATGTACTTTGTCATTTATGCACTCATGCTGCAGGTAGGGGAGGAGGATGCAACCCCGAGCCGAACAGGGCGTTTGTACCTTTTTGAATTTCAACGAGAAGGACTGATGAGCCCTCCTCTCACTGAGCTACAGCGCATGGACACAGCAGCCATTTTAGATATGAAATGGTAAGACATGAGGTTTGACCAGTGTAGCTGTTGCTTTCACTTTTAACTTCCCTCTTGTTGATTCTTTTGCATGTCTGCAGGTGCCACATGCCTGTGTCAGAGAGGGCTATGCTGGGAATGGCAGTGGCTACGGGGGAGCTGCAGCTGTACACATTGTCAGAGAGTCAGGTGAAAAAAAACAGCAAAAGAAGTCTAATGGACAGTGACATCATGTATTTTAAGGAGTTTCTGTCTAGATTCATGTAGGGTATTTAAGAGGACCCATAGTCAGCCTGTATAAACAAAACTGTGATGATGTAGGTGAAAGGAACTTATCCTGTGATGTATGCCATGCTTTCTAATTTAAGAACATAAATCTTAAACAACATATTTCAGTTTTAGGTAAATGCAGCCTTGTATGAGAAAACAGGATTAGAACACCAAATAACACTGCGATATTTTTTAATCCTGTCCTACACAAACAGAAATTTGGGGCTGCAATAGGCACCCAGTCACCAAAATTAAACACTTGAAAATACAGCCTTATCTGATGAATCTTTATTTCTGCTGAGGCTGTAGATGATAAGCTCTAAATCTTGCATCAACAGCAGGAATCCAGAGGCCCAACCGGACTTGTGTAAAAAGTTCTGGCTTCTGCTGGTTATTTAATTGTGTTTGAAATGTTTTCTTGGCCCACTCTGGGGCTCTTAATACCAATCAATCATGGTTGGAATACCACAGCCTGTCTCAATGTTGTTGCTGACCATGTGCTTCCCTTTACTGCCATAATTTACCATCTTATAATAGCTATTTCCATTGAGTTCCGTGGGCCCCCCAGTCATCAGATCTAAATTCAGTTTCATCATTCATACAGCTTAGTGCAGTTTAAAGCACTTTATAGATCACTGATAAGCAGATAAAAATACACAAGTAGAGTATAAAATAAAACTAAATTATAAAGGAATACATAAAAAATACTATAACCACAAATGTGAAAGTCATAAAAATTGGTATAATAATTTAAAAGACAAAACTGCAGAATAATAAAATTGTAAAAATATATTTTAAAATTCTATAAAATAGAATAAAAAGACAATTAAACGGAACACCTTTGGGATGTAGTAGAACAGAGATTGGCAGCATGAATGTTCAACTGACAAGTCTGCAGAAATGATGTGATAAATCATGTCACGATGGAGCAGAATAACAGAGAAAGGTTTCCAACATTTTGTAGACTCTGTGACACCAAGAAGTGAGGCTGTTTAAGAACAAGAGTGCCAACACAGTATTAGCACAGTGTGAATACAACATTATTATTAGTGTCATGCTGTCCACAGACATTTGAATCAGCATCAGAATTCGTCAAGATCCTTACATGTCTTACAGAGATATGATCATTTTTCTGAGCTCTTAGTATTAAATTGTGTTTTGCCAGATATATCTCCTTTGTGTGTTTGTATGAAACAGATGTGTTTGAGGGACACATCACATTTTATATTGTATATCAACATATTGCAGTACATGTTTGGCCAGAGAAATGTGGAATAAATAATACATAAATAGCTAGTTTGCTGGTAATTTAAAATGTTGCCAACTCTAACAGTCACAGTTCATTCATTTAGACTTAGTGTCATTGTTGTTGTGGTAGTCCCCACTTATAAATGTGTGTATCCAGTAGGAAGGCGGCCGCAGCCTGCAGGCTCTGAGCAGTTTGGAGGTTGGAGCAGAGCGGCTGGCTCTGTCATTGGACTGGTCTACTGGCAGGCTAGACAGGTCAAGTACCAGAGCACCCTATACTTTTGTTTTTTTATAGAACAGCTACTGTCATACATTGTAAAAAAAAAAACAACTGTGCTCACTTTGAACAACCCCCTCTTGTGTCAGCAGCAGTAATGTCCGAGTGGTGTGCAGTGACTCTGCAGGCTGCATCAGCGTTCTTTCTCTGGCTGAAGGCGCTTTAACGGCTCTGTCACAGTGGAAGGCCCATGACTTCGAAGCATGGATCTCAGCCTTCTCCTACTGGGACACGCAGCTGATTTACTCTGGTAAAACCACTTCATATTGTATTCTGTCACATTTTAAGATGAATACTTGCAAGCCTGTTTCTGACGTTTGGGGACCAACAATTTTCAATTCCCTTTCCTTCTATGGCTATCAGCCTGCTTTGTTTTACTTAAGTTAATGTCTTAATCCTGTAATCTTTACAGGACATATCAACTTAAAAGGGTCATTTACCAACGCACATAATTTCACACAAACATATTGTGTATATTAGTTTTGTATTTAGTCACTTTCAGAGTGTGAAAAGACCCCTCTGCTGTCTGTTGTTGTTGTTTGTTTTTTTAAATGTATTAGTGCAGACATTAAGATAACGCAGTAAAACAGACATTAGAGGAGTGGGATGTGATTTGTGGATTGTCCTGTAGTGGTGTTTGTGAGGTTTTTGAGTTGGGAGAGGGAGTCAAAATAAATACATAGACTAATGCATAGACACATATGCATATCACATGATAATTCAAGATAATGTAGTTACAATAATGACTTGCTTAGAATGTTTTCAAAACAAGTTACAGGGTGCTTTACATAGATATGAGCAAAAGAAACAGACAAAATAAATCGGTACATATTACAGAGAGGAATTCACCATTTCCTCCTTGAGCAGCCCTCAGCATCAGTGGGGAGGACCACCTCATTTTTATTTAGAAGAGGTGAAAGTCTTCTGACACCAGACCTGGGGTTGGCGACTGTCTGCTTTAACCATTTGGGCTGAGAGGAGAGCAGACAGAGAAAAGACAAGAACTGATTGCATTAATGATGATGATGATGATGATTTATACAGCAGAGTTCCTGGTCCGTAAAACCTAGAGGAGGGGACAGGGCACCCCTGGGGGAAGACAGCTGGGTGTACCCTAAAAGTAGGGTGGTGTTAGTGGGTGGTGTTACTACAAGTCATTTATTGTTCCATTAAGTCAGATTTCAAATAAGCAAGACAGAGGGAGATCGAAAAAATAGGAGAAGTAGAAAAAAGATGAAAATTATAATTATTATCATGAATATGAAAAAAACAAACAAAAAACAAGTTGCTCAAGGGATGCATCTAAAGCTAAGTAATTTGTAGATGTAGCTACCTCACAAAAAGCCAAAACAAGTTACAATAGAATCAATTTTGTTGCCACAAGGGGCCCTTTTGGGAAGATCAGGCTAAAATCCCTTTGTGACCCCCCCTTGCACATCTATCATCATCGTCATCATTATAGTGTCTACATCCATGGCTAGTTTGTGAGCTGTCTGCATGCCTCTCTCTCTCTCTCTCTCTCTCTCTCTCTCTCTCTCTCTCACACATATGCTGTCTGTGCGTGTGTGCGTGTGTGCGTGTGTGTGTGTGTGTGTGTGTGTTTTCCACCCAGGTGGGGATGACTGCAAACTCAAAGGCTGGGATCTCAGAGTTGGTCCCTCCAGCCCCACTTTCACCAGTAAAAGGTAGTTAGAGTGTTAATGTTTTATGTCAGCTGTGACTTGGATGGTTCATTCTGGCAAACAGTGACAAATTCTGTTTTTTTGTTTTTGTTTTTGTTGTTTTTTTTAAAGGCACTCAATGGGTGTATGTAGTATTCAAAGCAACCCACACCGGGAACACATTTTGGCTACTGGCAGGTAAATATCCTCATGTCTACATGTTGGCATTGTGTGAGAATTATACAGTGGATGATTGCCATTATAGTTTTTATGTCATGTCCGGATCTTCTTCCTCTGCAGCTATGATGAGCAAATTTTGCTGTGGGATGGCAGGAACATGCGGCAGCCCCTCAATGAGAGTCCTGTGGGTGGCGGGGTGTGGAGGCTTAAGTGGCATCCAACCAATCAGCACCTGCTGCTCGCAGCCTGCATGCATAATGACTTCCACATCCTTCACTGCCAGCAGGCTGTAGGTGGGTTTAAGGGAGAGATGGACAAGGAAATACTAACCTTGAATTCTTAAGGGTGGAGTCAGTCATCCAACATACTTCTTGCTAAGTTCAGTGAAAATCTCATCACAGCCTGCTAGCTGTCTGTTCTGTATGCACTGGACCAAAAAAAAAAAAATTGTACACAACCGTGGCTCTGTATGGGAAACAAGGTGGCTCACACTGATTCACACAACACTATTCCAGCATGTCCTGTGCATGTTCACGCATATGCACATTTGTGCTCCTGCACAGGACAAGGATTGGACATAGAGGCAAAGGTGGCATTGGGAATGAGAGGAGTTGAACATCTGGCACACGTAACTATGCTAATAGCTAAACACCACCAATCTTTCAACTGAAATGCAGATGCCACCTTTCATACATTGTTCTTGATTTTTGGTTAGTTAACATAGGTACTTAAGATTCACCTTACTTTTGAGTTTAACTTCCTGATTCATACAATGTAGAGACCACTACTGCAAAGTTCGGCTGATCATCTAGAAATTAATTAGAAACTGTTTTTAAGGAGCCATTAGCTATAGGTTATGCATTGAGTGATGTTTCAAGCAAAACTGCTAAGCAATTTGAAATTTCATCTTCTCAAATGCTAAAATGTCATTCAATGTCCACAAAGACATCAAAAGGTTCTGGAGCCTTAGAAAGAAAAATAAAAAAAGAAGCTTAAATTTAAAATCTCAAATCAAAAAACAACAAAACAGATGAGTGTACATGCTTTGGAGAGGTATTTAATGCCTGTATACATATATTTACATTTTTCTATAATATACTGGCTGCTGTTCCAATTACTGGTGTTATAGTTGTAGTAAAAGTAAATTCTGTAAATAGTACAATGATAATGATAAATGTGGTTTCTGAATACCTGGCGCATGAAAGAATATTAAAATGCAGGATTTGTCATCTTCTCAAAGGCAGTTTAACATTGTAGTACTACAGCTTGCATGAGAGAACAGTAAATCAAACATATCACACAAAAGATTGTGTGGATTGATGGATAGCACCAGTACAAGAATATCTCAAAAGTGGACAGTTAGTGATTCTTGTATATGAATTATTTTGGAGTTTTTAATAACTATTGTTGGTTTTCTTGACATCATTCAGAGGGCAGTGGAGAAGCATGTCCTGTTGTAGCCTCCTACATCCTTCACAACTCCCTGGCATATGGAGCCGACTGGTCCAGACTGTCCCTGGAGGACCCTGCTCCCTGCTCACCTCCTGCCGCAGAACCAAAGGAAAGCCTCGCAGAGAGCAGAGGACACTTGAGGATTCAGTATGAATCTCCCACTGCCAGCTTTGATACTTCCCTGGAGGACGACGCTGGACGATACATCCCAGAGGGAATACCAGCTCCCTCTACCACACCTACTGCAGGTCCTGCCGTCAACCTTGACCAGGATGCCCCCTCACTGTCCTGTCTGCTGGCGAGCTGCTCATTTTATGACCACATGCTCCATGTATGGCGCTGGGACTGGACTCCTGATAAAGGTCCTCAGGAATCAGAGCAAGGCTGACCAAGCTTGAGATGACACTGTAGAAATATTGTCTATCAAACTATAACATGTACCGAAGTAAAGCAGAATGTATCGCCTAACTATAACATGGGCTTGATAAACTGTTATTTCATTCACTGTCCCCTTCACTTTGGAATAACTTATCACAGAATGTGAAATTTGCAAAACCCTCTATTTTCATAATGACAGTGATTTTTTAAAACTTGTATTTAAGCATAAATCATTCATAATCCTTATACTCCTGTGTTCTGTGGCAACAAGAGCAATACAACCACACACACACTTTTATTATATCTTTTGTTTTAAGTGTGTTTGAGGAAAATCATTACACTGACAAAACCAGCTTGCTTGAAGGTGAGCACCAATTTTAACCCTTAAGTTATGTACCCATGCATTATATGTTAATTTGTCTGATAGCTTTATTGGTCCTCAAGGGAAATTGTTTTCCTTTGCACCCTTCTAGCTGCTGAAGGGCATTGTACTCTTGGATTCAGTTACGTGTTTACATTTAGGCCGAGTTTTAGCCCAGATTAGCTGGTGGCTGCATTATGACTCCCTTGTAATGAACCTCTAGATATAAACTGCAGTGTCTGTGCTGCTCCCCAGAAATCTGAGGTGGTGATATTCACCATATGATAATTCTGGAAACTACATTAAAGTATTTCCTGGAAATTTGTAGAGGCTACTGTCATTACTGGTTACATTCATTAGTTTATCCAATGAAGTCCCACAGACATGTTTGTTAGTTCACTGTTCATATCTCAGCTTGGCCAGGGGAGAAAAAACTCTGAAAAATCACAAGCTTCTGGGCTAAAGAAACAATAATGCTACTGTGTTTAACTGAATGTTATCTGTTTTAGAAAATGTCAAGCGTAACTATTGGCAACTTCAGACAACTCTGGATGTTGTAGTTATACAGTCTCGCCAGCCCACATGTACGTTTTTTTTTTCTGTGACAAACATATGTGAACCCTTGGTTTTGTACATTAGTAATTTTAATTTGGAAATGATCACATCAAACTGTTCATATAATCTTTACAGTGATTAATATACAGGTTTGCAGTATGAATTATGCCTGTAAGTTTCATAGTGCCAGATGATCAAATATCAGAAACACTATTGTTTACGGTGCCATTTGTGATTATTTTCCTGAAGGTGTCACATCAGTTGGCCTTCAGCTGTCTGGTTCCAGTTAGTCAGCAGTTTCTGTATTTCTTTGCAAAACCATCACACTGTAGGTCCATCATTAACGCACATAGTTCTTAGGATACAGCTTGAAGAGTTTCCCTTCCTGTGTGGGCTCAAATCCATACTTCTCCAGCTGGTCTTTGCTGAAAGTGCCCTCTTCAAAGTCTTTCTCGATCTGAGGTGCCACAACTTCTGCAAACAAACTCTCTGCTGTGAGTGGCGCTTCTGTTCCTTTTGGACAACGATAGGATACGTATGGCTTGAGTTTGAATCCCTCCAAATGAGGCACTACAAACTCAGGAATCATGCTACGAATGGACACAAACTTTCTGCTGGAGAGGTTCAGTCCAGTGGGCCTTGCACCCCTGCCTTTATTGTGAGTCCTTGATCCACGTTTACTGGTGAACTCGGACATCCTGTCAGCGCCTCTGACAAAACCCCTCATCAGCGTGGACAACAAACCCATGGTGCCGCAGCGGCTAGCTCTGCCAGAACAGATGGAGAAGAAATGAACGACTGCTTTAGTCACGTATTTTAAAACCAGCGAAAACACAACGCCAACACGTTGACTACGGCATGTTTAGCTAACAGAGGAATCACTTATATTTGCGCAAATACGAAAAGTATGATCAAGTAACTCTGTAGAAGCTATTACAAGAATTTAACATTAAGCGGTGTGTAGGTAATGGATGGTTAATGTAGAGTCAACACACATCCCACTGACAACTTGACATAGAAAACTGTTGTGTCGCCTGCTGTACTGCTGGTACCTGACTAGCTTACGAGCTAACGAGCGATAATTTCCTAGCTAGCTAACCTTAATGTTGCATCGTCTCCTGGCAAGTTAATTATAAGTTTACACTCAAATACTAAACACCGCTTGCCTGTATGTTAATAAAATACTTAATTCATCCACACATATCGAATAACTTAAGCAGAAATTCGACTCCTCTCACCTTGAGCACCTGAATGTTGAGCCGATGTAAGCAATGTGCCCCCAGTCCAATGAACCGTTCAGGGATTGGCTGTGAGGCAACACTATCCACCAATCAACATGCGAGATACTAACGCTCAGCGATTGTGGGTGTGTCAAGTTAGTTAGTGTTAGCGAACAAGAACAAGAACAATTCATCTTTAAAATAAATGCTTAAAAATCCACATTAGTGTGTCCACAGCATGAAGTTATCAAGAGAAAGTGTAAATAATATTTATTTCACCAAAAAGTCAAACATAGCGAATACATTTTATTCTTCGCCCCGTTTAGATGCAGTCTGTGTCTGTTTCAAGTTGGAGTAGTTTGTTCAAGGAAGATTTTATTTTGACAGAATAACAGGATATCCAGATTGCTTTCACCGAGCAGTCTTCACACTAATGCAATTCATGTATACACAAAAACTTTGACCCAACAAAGGTACGTGTAAGAAAGTTTGCTCGCTTTCGTTCTAAAATTGTTATATGGAGATTTATTTGTTCGTGTGCATTTTAACTCTGTCGGTGCAGACGTCGTTCCGGTTTTGACTTATTATAGGTTGTCCTCAAGTCGAGTAGCGGAATGCTGCGGAGTCCGCGGTCACGTTGGGAATTAGCTACAACAAACTTCAAGTTTGTGCTAGCTTTTTTAAAAAATAAATAGATTGTCTCTGAACACCTTTCTAGCTTTAGCTGCAGGCAAATATTAAACAGCAGAACTGTGAATCATTTGGCTTCACCTGCACTACACTGCATTTGAATCCTGTCAAACAGGAGCAGTCTCGATGTTGTCGCTCAAACGAGTTGAAGTCAAAAGTCAAGAAGTGAGTTCTGCTTCTGTCTGCTCTCCGACAAATGCACTCCCTTAGACGGAAAAAGTTGAATAACTTAAAATTCCCCTTTCAATTCAGCTTTTACTTCTTTTCTGCTTGTAGCACACCAAGCATTGACCTAAAAAACCCCGTCTAGTTTTGAAGAGAGACCCAAGCTGAGTCAACATGGCAAGAAAACAAGCAACAGAGGTGACACTCGTATAGATGTATTTGGTAAACAAACTAAACCCCTCAATCTTTCCACTTTTCCCACGGGGGAGCTTTTTCCACTTGTTTTCAGAGCTGAGGCAGCCTGACTGTGTAAAGAGCTCACGGAGGTTGATAGTGTTTAAGTGCAGGAGTGTCTGGTTTCAAACACTGACTGACAAGTGTAAGTGATCTTTAACCCAGATTTCCATGGCCTGTGTTGGTCAGCTGGGTGGAGCAAGGCACTAATGTTTCTAGGGTCAGGGGCCAGAGTCATGTGCTATTATTAATATACGATCATAAAAGTTTAATCCAACCATTATAGCATGCAACAAAATAGGCATCATTTTAAGTGTATTCCCATCCCGAATGTTTCACTCTTTATAGTTTGAGTTAAATTTCAACCTATGAAGTTGCTTTATCATAGTGTTGCATTTTCTGTTTTGTTGTTGTTGTTGTTGTTGTTGTTGGTTAACAGACATGGAAGACAACGAAGAAGAGGAGAGCTGCAGCATATACCCAGTATGTCATCCATCTACAGCTGTTTCTATACTTCACAGTCTGAAAAGACCATCATTTTGTCTTCTTAAAATTATCAACCCTTTTTTTGCACTGATTAGTCGAAAGCTCTTAGACACAGCCTGTCTCACATTCAGCTGATTGTATCCTGTCGGTGTTATCTCTGTGCTTGATGTTTCAGAGCATAGTTCCACTCAGTAATGAGTTAACAGCCCGGATGCAGAAGTTTGTGGAGGAGAGGACAGAAGTCAATATGGTAACCTCCTAACATTCACATCCTCATGGTCTGACTGTGGTACTGTGTGTAATATACATGCATACATACATACATACATACATGCATACATGCATACATACATACATACATACATACATACATACATATATCATTCCTTGTTTGTATATATTAAGAAAAATGTCTTGTGTGTTGTTCTTCTAGTGGACAGCTGTGCTGATTGGAGCTGTGACGGCAGTTTCTGTTGTTGGAACTGTTGTGTTTCTTCTTTACAGAAGATACAAACTGTCAAGTCAGTGCCCTTCACACTGTTCTTCCTGTATTGTTTTACAATGCATTTGTGTCAAAAAAACCAAAACATTTTAGGGCAAAGATGTTCAAAAGTACAAACAGATGCATTTTTTATGTTTTAGTGTTGCTTTACCAACAGTGGATTTGAGAATTTGAACTGATGCTTGTTACGGTATCACTAAAGATGTTGTAATGATTTACCTTTGGTTTGTGTTTCAGATACAACAGCAGTTTAGCTTTTTGTTTGTCTGTTTGTTTGTTTGTTTGTTTTTTTACATATTTAAATAGTGTTTGTATTATTATCCCTTTGTACATCTATATTCATAGATGGCAAGGCAAAATCATTTGCATAAAATGCAAAGCAAAACAATAGAACCCTCCTTAAGCAATATAGTAAGATAAAGTGAAATAAGATACGAATAAGTAAGATTTAAAAAAAAAAAAAAAAAACTGTTAAAGCAGAGTGAAAGCTAAAAATCAAGTAAACTAAAAGTTACAGTGCAGTGCAAGATAAGAATCAACCTTCCTAAGCTTAATTTATTTTAACAGCTAAAATCAGTCCATGTTTTATAAGAACTGAGGGCTGGTGCAGACCTACAGAAACACAGTTGCTTCTCTATGTTTATTTTGGACCCTGGGGATGGTAAGCAGACCTCTTGAGAGGCCTGTACAGTTGGTAATGCAGCAGCAGAATAGAAATGTATTTTGATCCTGAATTATTCAGTGTTTTATAAACCAACAGTTAAATGTCAATTCTCATCACTCTGATAAGCACAGATCGATTGGTAGTCTTACACAGAATATGTGGTTGTTTCAGAGGAGGAGGCCGGCGTCCCTCACTATCGCTTCAGGAAGAGAGACAAAGTAATGTTCTACGGTCGAAAGATCATGAGAAAGGTTAGTGCCTTCTTATACTCTATAACTGGAAGCCTGTGAAATCCCACAGTTTAAAGTTGTTTAACAAGGCTTTATTTCTAGAACCTGATGAAGGAAAGACACGCACATCCCCGAGGCCCACTGGGTTGGTGCTGGATCACAAAATGTCAAAAATGAGAAAAGAAAAGAAGAATGATCCGCACACCAAAACAGGCTCCCTTATACAATTTATTGGCATGACTTTTCGAGCAAAATGCTCTTCCTCGAAACGTCACGCCAATAAATTGTATAAGGGAGCCTGTTTTGGTGTGCGGATAGTTCGTCTTTTCTTTATTTCTAGAACCCCCAGAGTCTTTTAACCACTGGAATGAAGAAGTGTTCTGCCCACTGCAGTATAACGAGCATTTTTACCCTTAAGTTCTAAGTCTGTTTCCATACCGAGATAAAGATAGAAGCCAGAAGTTGCATACAGTGGGGTCCAAAAGTCACCATTCGAAGATCAATATCCCAAATTTGCTAAATAAAGAATGCAGGTCAGGGATAACATACTCCACCATTTGGGTTTACATTTTTCTGCAGAAGAACTGATACTGCTGCTTGATAATACGTCGAAACACACCTCAAAGATTTGACTCGGAGACCAAAGAAGACCAAGCAGTGCTGGCTGTTATGGACTTTTTTCCACAGTCACCTGATCAACCCCACTAAACATTTAGAAAGTTTTAGAAACACTTGAAGACTTAGAAGGCAGAACAATCCTAAACATGACAAGAAGCTCTTTGGAACACTATCATGTCATGCTGAGATAACGTGACTTATCGGTTTAAACAAACTGGTGGAGTCAATGCAGCTTGAGTTTTGCTGCCATTAAAGTCAAAGAAGGGCAAGTAAATACTGAGGTATTATGCAAATCAACAACGTTTTTCACATATTCAGCATTTCACTATAATTGTCCAGCTAATTTTCATGATTACCATTTGCACTAAAACATTTTGTGTATTCAAATGGAATGCAAAAAAAGTCACCAATTTATGTACTTGCTCTATTGGTGTTCCACGAAACTAAAAGTTTTCTGTTACTTTCTATGACTTAATATTTTCATACATGTTAAGATTAAACTTCTGCACTCTCCAGTTTTGAACATGTTTGAAGTCAGAGTACACTGCTAACAAATAGCAGGAAATTTGCTCACAGGAGCTCAGGCCAAAGGTTGAAGAGAACACACAAATATCATGCATGTGTTTATGGTTAGCTACTGCTCCTATATAGCACAGTGTAAACATCCAAGTGATACAGCAGCAAACAGTGTGTAACAGACAGTATTGGAGTTAAATGGTTTAGCAGTTACTTATTAATTAGCAATATATTGTTCATCTCATGGCTGTCTGACCCTAATATATCATATGCAGGTGAGAGGTGGTGGAAGCTTATTTATGTTCCATCTTTCAGCAAGCCCATTCAGAGTGCCTTACTAAAAATGTAAACTTTATTAAACATTAAAAAGCATGAATTGTCTGTATAATCCTGTTTTATTGTAATCAGAAGCCTCAGGTTTCTTTTCCTTACTGTTCCAGGTTCAAACACTGTCTTCAGTTCCTCCTTCTAACTCAAACTCAGCCTCACGGCAGAGAGTGAGGAAGAGGACCAAAGTCCTGTCAATAGCTCGCAAGTGAGTCCTGTTTTTGAGCATTTGGTGTTGAGATAAGCTTTGAATGTTGGATGTTTAATTTTCACCTTGGGAACAGTTGTTTCAGCAAAATAATCTTACTTTAAGTTGTTATTTTAAGATATTAAAAGCATGAAAACAGAAGCCCAACATCTAAATGTTGTGTTTACCTTATCTCATGAATCTTGTGCAGAGTTCGCTTTAGGATTAGGAGTTTATAGAACTGGCTCACAGATTTGTTAAAATCAGTTCAATATTTGTATTTTTTTTAAAAGCACTATGTTGAATGTGTTTTTTATTGTTTGTGTTAGGATCCTGCGTATCCGGAAGGAGCCCCCCACCCTGCAGCCAAAAGAGCCTCCTCCCTCTCTGCTGGAGGCTGACCTGACTGAGTTTGACGTTCAGAACTCCCACCTGCCCTCTGAGGTGTTATACATGCTGAAAAATGTCAGGTTAGTAATATGACACATTTTAATCATCCTCCTCATTTTTCTCCCCGATCAGTAGGGATATCTACTTAGCTACAACAGTAAAACCATTGGCAGGTAAAGTGAATGATATTGATTCTCTTGTAATAATAGCAGTTATCAAGGGGTGGGGTATATTAGGCAGCAAGATGTTGAAGTCGATGTGTTGCAAGCAGGAAAAATGGGGGTATCTGAAGCAGTATGTGTTGCTACATCACAGCAGAAAGTCAAATCAAATATACAAGGAGCCCAGAGCTAGCTGACGGTCTGAGTCACTTATGTAGTTGGAGTTTGGATTGAACCCAGTCAGAATGAAAGGCAAAACAATGCAGTGGAGGAGTGCTGTTGCTGCCTATTCAGCACCTTAAAAGTCTTGACACACTTTACCTCGCTGATTTTTATCAGTCTCAGGTGTGCAACAGCAGATTCTTACCCTTGTCTTTTTTACTTTGTTGTTCCAAAGTGCTTTACAAAGTGTTTGTCATTCACACATTCATGCACCAGTGTCAGTGGTTGCCCTGTCAACGGGAGCAACCTGGGGCTTAGTGGCTTTCATGAGGACAGCTCTGCATGTAGACATGAAGGGATGGGGATCCAGCCACCACCCCTGTGATTAGAGGACTATCTACTCTGCCACCTGAGCAACAGCTGCCCTAGAATCAGTCTTGTGTCTCCATTACTGACGGTACATATGCAGCATAAGGAAGTTTGCATTATTCATTGAGTAGACCACCTCCTCAAAATAGCTGGTAGTTATTAATAATGTAGATTTTATGCAACTTGGATCCGAAACAGCCTGCTGGAGGGTGGAGGAGAATCTGGGTCTGTAAGGAAAGATTAATAAGGAAAAATCAAAGCAACTTTTGCTGAATAAAATGTCACAGATATGTTTAAAAGACACAACAATACAAATGAGAATTAAATCTAGATAAAATAATGTTAAAAAATATAGGTAGTTGACCTTTTTTGTCTTCAGTGGTGTGATTTTGAAAGAAAGGCACTATTAAATACTATTTGCTGGTTACATCCAGTAACATGTCACTTAAACCTTGAGGAGAAAAAAGGGGTAGAACAGTATACTGATTCATTGATGGTGTTAAAAGTTGAATTTGCTCAACCTTGGCTATAAAGCAGTGTAGAGGAGTATGATTTTATTTGAGGGCGTATTATGACCTGAATCATCTGTAGTGTTACATTTTGTGACTGTTTATGGGAACATTCGCAGTATTACAACTATATCTTGTATCCAGAGTGCTCGGCCACTTCGAGAAGCCTCTCTTCCTGGAGCTGTGTCGTCACATGGTACTAATCCAGCTGCACCAGGGAGAGGCACTCTTCAGACCCGGTGACACTGATGACAGCATTTACGTGGTTCAAGATGGGCGTCTGGAGCTGTGCATCCATGAGAGTGTAAGACCACCGTTTACACAGAAATCACAAGAACTTTGGTGTTCCAGTAGCAGCCTTGTCTTCACTGTTTAGTGTACCGTATATTTGAATCATAATTAGTCAACCTGGCTGAGAATGTAAGGGTTTAAACAATAACTGTTTTATGATGATTTGGAGTTTTAGATTTATGAAATGAAATGAAAAATACTTTATTCATCCCAGAAGGGAAATTCAATCTTGTAAAAGCTCATTTAGAAGTGAAGTCAAAATTGATATTTTGTTACACAAGAAGTTGTGTAACAAAATACATCTGCATTGCTGGGTGATATTATAGTAATGTAGCCATGTCATAATTATTCAGCCTTTATCTAATATTAATCACTTACTAGTCTGTGAGGATAACAGATTGTTGCAAATTCCAATGAAGTTTAATAACAACACTGCATTTGCTTCAGCGTTAAAACAGATATAACTGCAGGGGTTACAGCTGCGTTGCAAACAAAGCAAAGATAAAGGAACCATCTAAAAAACTAAAGAAAGAAACAATTTCATTAGACCAATAAGACAGTGGTTTAAAAACTGTACCTATATATTTTTTAGACTTTCCATAATTATACACAGCAACCTAAAAAAATCCAAAGTTTCCTTTGGATTCCCTGAGCAACTTGGCATGAGGAATGAGCTAAAATGCCAAAAGAGGAATCGGAAGGCATTAGCTTTATATTATTAAACTGTCTATGACTGCTCAAGTGTGAGTGGATATGTTGTGGTTAAATTGTATTTACTTCACTACAGTGTCTTGCAGGTTAAGGGGCTTGAATCATTTTGATTTTTACCATGCTAGTGACAAGTATGAAAAAACAATCAATGTGTTGGAGTTATCAGCTGTGTTCTCGTGACTGTTCTGGTCTCATGCTGAGATCTGATTATGTTTTACTGCAGGATGGAACAGATGCTGTTGTTAAGGAGGTGTTACCAGGAGACAGTGTTCACAGTTTGCTCAGTATCCTGGACATCATCACTGTACGTGTGCCATACATCTGTCCCTCCTCTCCATTTCTGCTTTTGCTTATTAATCTTCATCCTCCTATATTATATACATGTAACGTAGGGTTGATTTTAAAACAGTAATCTGTTTTCATTAAGGATTTTACTATCAATATCATCCCCCTTGCTGCTTGATATTTCAGGGCTACCCAGCGCCTTACAAGACAGTGTCTGCAAGGGCAGCGGTTCCCTCCACCATCTTGCGTCTTCCAGCTGCAGCATTTCAGTCAGTGTTTGATAAATATCCTGAAACTCTGGTCCGTGTCATCCAGGTAAAGTGTCCACAGATAATAAAAGGCATTTAGCTTATTAACTCACCTGCAGGCATTGCAAGTATCACCTTAGCCAATGAATAACATGCAGCAAAGCAATTTATGTATTTTCTTTGTGTCACAATGTTTCTTTTCTGTCTTGCAGATAATAATGGTGCGTCTCCAGAGAGTGACCTTCCTTGCCTTACACAACTACCTTGGCCTTACCACTGAGCTCTTTAACCCGGTACTGTTCTTTTTATAACCTACACTGTAATCTGACATATATTCATAGACAGTGCAAAACTGTTTCAGATTTGATAACCTCACTTTTCATATCTGTATTACTGTTGAGCTCAGCTTTTTTTCACTTTTTGTTTGACAGTTTTTCCTATGTACAGCACTGTCCCAAAGTAGAAGCCTTTTTAAGAGCATTAGGAATGTTTAGACATCAAGGCATCAGCAATTTCTGCCTTAGTTTTCAACAAACCACACCCAGTGGATTTGCAAACTCTGGTAGTTGCATTGTGCATGCAAAGGAAAAAAAATATTGCACTTGCAGCACACCAAGACTTAACTAAGGGATAAGGATACAACTTTACTCACAGTATTGTCAAAATTCTAGGAATAAATTTAAACTTAAGTTTCCAGTATGGCCTGTGGGGTCATTGTGTTGGTTCCTCTAGAAGGATTTAAAGTAGTCATGTGGCACTACCATGTAAAAAGCAAGGTTAATCTCTCTACTCGGTGTTTCTCACCATAATACATTATTTGAATACTTGCTGTCTAATAAATACATATAGAACAAGCTGCTGAAGATGGCTGCATTTCTTGCTGCTCTCTGTGTGTAAGCACTGACTGACATAGAGACAAATATGAAGGAGTCCCCTTTGCTCCACAGCGCTACTAGTGGTCAAAAACTTCACAGGATGCCTTTAAACCAAGTAGTCTCACTCACTGAAGTATTCTACACTGTCTACTTTGTCATGCCCTGCATGACAGCCATTAGCTTGGAAGTGAGTTCCCTCTTTTTTAACCTTACCAATGTTTCTGCCATCGTTCCCAAGTTTCTTTGAGTGTTTTTTCTAGGAACATGTTCTTACTGCCCTACTTCTCTCATGAATGTTTACTGTTAACTCCTCAAGCTAGCTATGTGTTTTATTTCTCATTCCCTAATATCAACAATATTCACGTAGGCCTTTGCACAATTTGATCAAAACAGTGCATCATTATGTAAAATTTAGAATGTATATGATTAAATAATGTCTAATTGCATGTCCCTCTTGTCGCAAGTGAGCCACACGCAATAGCCGATGGTAGAATTTGATTATATCAGTTTAACCATATCCCATATTTAGTTAAAGATAAATGAAAGGATGACTTTGAAAAACATCATACGGATTTCTGTGTGTGTAACAGGAGAGTCAAGCTATCTCCCTGGTGTCGGTGGCAAATGTTCTGGGGGAGGCTCATCCACACAAAAGCTTCCGCCGACAGGCATCCCAGTCTGATGATCTGGTCTCAGAAAAGGCCGACACTGGTCTGAAACTACAGGCTTTTTCTACACATTTTCAGTGTTAGGCTTCAGTAAAGACTATGTAGTACTGTTTGTCTGAAGTAATGTGTTTTCTTGATGTGCATGTGCAGAAAGGTCCAGTGTCTCTGACATGCCCACATCAAAATACAAGAAATCTCGCTCTCATTCCAGCCCACTTGCTGTAACAGGTATGCACACATGTAACATCATTGTACACACGCATACAGTCATGTGATAAAGCAAGTATGGAAGTTGTCAACTTTTTTGGCACACTTTTAATTGACAAACATTTATCGTCTTTGAAACACTGCCTATTGATAAAGGTGGTATACCATGAGGAAATAAGCCTTTTTAATTCAATTTTTTTTCTATAGTGCCACTTCACAACATATGTAGTTTCATAGCACTTCACATAGTAAGGTAAAGACCTTACAAATTTGACACAGAACAGAGAACCCAACAATACAAAGTTGTCTTTTTCAGTGGTTTAAGAAACAAAAATGTGTACACCCTCAGTTTCAGAAGCTAATATTTTGCATAAGCTGGCATGTTTGATTGCACATTAGTCCACCAGTCTTTACCAGGTTTGCTGAAATTTCTGACTACTTTCTCTGTAAAATCCCTTCAGTTACAAGATGTTTGGGGGTTTTCTTGCATGTACTGCCTGTTTCAGATGTCCCCAAAACATCAATCAGATTCATATCTGGGCTTCCTTAGCCCTTCCTTCGTAATGTTAATTACCTGCAGTTCCTGTGATGAAATTGTGGCGTTCTTGAAGACTCTTTCTGCATCAAATAAATCAATCAAACTTTATTTATAAAGCACTTTTCATACATGAAATGTATCACAAAGTGCTGTACATTACAGAACACAATCAGGAAGGGGTCAGGGGATACAAAATAAAATGCAAAACCCCACCCACCCACATTTAACACAGAATGCCACTCACGCACACACACACACACACACACACGCACACAGACACGCACACACAGGGACACCAAGTCAGGTCTCTACAGGAAGCCACAGAGGACCGAGGAAATGCTATCTTGAATTAAAAAACAGTCTGTTCTTGAGCTGAATTTGTTATGGCATCAGGTCATGCACAAATTATCAGTGGTTTGAAATCTGTGCCACTTGTAGTTGATTTTCCTCACAATTTTAAGTATTTTGGCCATCCACGCCTTGTTTTCCGAAAATCTCAGAGAGCTCTTTAAATCTCAGCATGATGACGCTACACACTACCAAAGCAAAAGAAACCTCTGACTCTAGACTCTATGCAATTCATTTTTATTGGTATAGCAGCAGCACAACATATGTCATCTCAAGGCACATCACACAGGTGAAGACCTTACAGAAACCAGACAGAAAAACCCAGCAATCCCTTTGAGTAGCACTTGGCAACAGGTTTAAGACAAGTTCCAACAAAGAGCTTCTAGCTATCTGGAACCCTGATTCTAATTTGATGGATAAAGGTGTGCTAAATATATGGATAGGTTTACTTTTCTCATGTCACTGATCTGTTTTTTTTATTTGTTTGTTTTTAAATTGTAAAAATGAATGGAAAATGAAACTCTTTGGTGCAATTTGAGTATATCATCTTTATTCCTTGTGTTTTACATTTTCAGTTTTGGGTTGTTTTTTTTTGCAAGCCTGTTCATAATGTCTTGCTACTGTTATAAATCAACAATAAATACTCACTTTTTGAGCTATTGTTACTGCTAATGTACTCATGTGCAATGCCCACAAATTTTATGCTCAGGAGTCCACTGTCAAACCTGACAAATCAGTAGCCATGCAATCTGAATTCCGAACCAGCAAACTTGCCACAGAGGACTTAAACAAGAGAGTTCAGTTGTAAGTGCACATGAAAAGTTTGTTTTAATATGCTGCTACAGTGAAAACGGCATAAGCAAGTCTGTAAACTGTAATGAATCCTCTAAGACAACACAGACACATGGTTGTCCGTCAGGAATGCTAATCAGTGCAGTCTCAGTGACTGTTGTTGCTCATACAAAATTTGATTGATAAGCATAATCACTGTGATTTTTTTCTTGTTTGTTTGCATTTTGCAGGTGAAATGTCAGTTGACCTCAACAGAGTATATGAACGAGATCGAGTTGCTAAAGAAGACATGATGCCTCACAGTCCCGTTAAGGTCTCTAGATGAGAATTCTTTTAGTGGTTTGCTGAAGTTGAACATACAATACAATAAACTTGACTGATATTTTTCTTGGGCTTGTTAACATCAGGGATACAAGGAAAGTTGACTGAGCACAGGAATTTTTGAAACACTATTCAACTAACAGAGAAATACTATATACAGGAATTTGTTGAGGTTTACAGGACAGGTGTACTGAAGCATTGGTTATTTCCTGAGTGATGTTATATAATTGATTTGTTACATTACACTGTATTTGCATACACATGCTATGGTTACTTTGAATTGGTATGTTTTTTCATGACCACTGTTTGTTTTTGTTTTTTTGTCGCTCTTTATCTTTTCAGTCTATTTTAAAGAAGACCGTGACAATGCAGCATACTCCATCTGCTATTTACCACTACAGTGATGCTGGAGGAGGAAATGTCCACCATAATAAAGTTAATGCTATTTTCCAAGCTGCTAAAAAAGATCTGCAGCAGGTCATCCAAATACAGGTAGCTTACAGTTAAAACTATACATCTACTACCGCAAAAGTCAACTTAAACCAAATGGAAAAATATGATTGATTTTGGTATTTCTGTTTTGCTGTGGTGGTCATAACTATGTACTTCTGAGAGGGTGAACAATCACCTCTCTATATTTTTCACTTTTCGTGGGATGTCAACAGGACCCCAATCTGCTGGAAGGGAGGGTGATTCTTCGCCAGGTCAAAGCCGGCTCTATTGTGGCCCACCAAGGAGACCAGGTCAGTCTGTTGGGGCACGCTACTCATTATGTTCCTTTTAATGGGATGTACAGATTATTAAAGCGCTGAATGCATGTGAATTTTTTGCAAAAATTGTCCCAGTTTTGTTCAGTTCCAAGTCTTTTACTGTTAAATTATATTGCTTATTCTTGTGGAGAAGTAATTTGCTTCGACAAACAACATCTCCACTTTGATAATGTTTCTAATTTGACTGCTTGAGTGATGCAAATCTACTCACGAGAGTAACAGGAGGAAATGTTTGGATAAACCAAATGTAGGTTTTTCAAGGTGCCCTGGGGAATTTTCTTTGACATTTACATTGACTGTTAATTTTGTCACATTGACATGTAATGAATGTGCTAAATAATAATAATAATAAAAATAATTAAAGCCACAGGTGGCATTTGACGGGTTCTCGCCGTACGATTGTCGGCCTTCACACACGTCGGGTTGTGGCGCAAACGTGCTGCAGGCGGGACTCTGATCTGGCATGTCAAGTTTGGGGCAGATGGAGCCCGTGCGGCCTAGTTACAAGCCACTTCCTGTTTAGTGGTGATCCACGGCGGTGTGCATGTTGGCCATGGTGGAAACGCGCTTTGGCTGAGACTCGGAGCACGCGTGTAAATTTTCAGGCCGACCGGAGCACATACAGGCCGGTTACACAGCACGTCTCGTATTCTGGCGTTTTCAGGGGATCAGCATTTCCACGCCGTCAGAGTTTTGCAGACCGTTTTATTTAAGTTTAATCAACACCTCCTGTAGTTTGTGCTGGCCAAATGTCAGGTGTGTACGACCTTCCTTGTAGGAGGAGATAGATATTGAAAATGGCCAAAAATGTCCAGCATTCAGCCAAAATCGCCGAAATTGTCACCGGGTTTTTTTCAAAATGGCAGACTTCCTGTTGGGTTTAGGGCTTAGCGCTGATTGACTTTTTTGTGTGTCCTGACCTGCTACACATGCCGACCGAATCTTGTATCTGTAGGTGAAACAGCCTTCCAACAGGACTCTGTTGAATGCCAGAAAGACCACGAAAATGGGCAAAATGGCCATTGATCGAAATTGCACCGGCTGTCATTTCCAAAGCAGGCCTCATTTGCAGAACGTTTTGAGAACTTTTAATCACTACGACCTGTAGGCCAAATTTCAGGTGTGTACGATGTTTCCCCTGGAGGAGATAGATTTTGAAAATGGCCAAAAATGGCCATTTTTGAGCGAAAATGGCCCAGCATGCTCGCTGTTTTTCCAACATGGCAGATTTCCTGTTGGGTTTACAGAAACATGCTAATAGACTTTTGTGTGCAGTTGTTGCAGATGTGTGCTGAATTTCGTACTTCTAGGTGAAACGTAGCTACGGTGAGAGTCTGTTGAAATATTGTAGGGGGCGCAGTTGAGCCGTGTTGCATTTTAGAGCTTGGCGCTAGTTGACTTTTTTGTTTGTCCTGACCTGCTCTATATGCCTACCAAATTGCATAGCTGTAGGCCAAACATGCTTATGACAGGACTCCATTGAAATTTTCAAGGTGGCGCTGTGGAGGAATTTTTCGATTGAGGTGTGTATTTTTCTTCCAAATTATACAATTGTTCGCCGGGTCTGATATGTGTGCCAAGTTTTGTGCAGTTTCGAGTACGTTTAGGCCCTCAAAAACACGTGTCTTTGTCATGAAGAATAATAATAATCTCTAGCATTCCAATAGGGTCTTCGCAACCTTGGTGCTTGGACCCTAATAATAGTACATTTTATTTGTAAGCACCTTTCTTGACACCCAAAGTCGCTGTACAAGAAACAAATACAACAGAACAGATAAAAGCTATACATACAAAAAAGGGAGTTATAAAGAATAAACAGTCTTGAACAGGTGGGTTTTGAGTCTAGATTTGAGCAAAGGGAGAGAGTCAGTATTACAGATGTCTGGTGGGAATGAGTTCCAGAGTTTGGGAGCAGAGCGACTGAAGGCCCTGCTCCCCATATTGTTGAGGCGGGTGGAGGGCACTATGAGGTGGATGGAGGATGAGGATCTGAGAGAGCAGGTGGAAGACCCGATGTGAAGGAGATCGGACAGATAGGGAGGGGCAGTGTTGTGGATGACCATGAATGTATACAAGTGGATTTTGAATTTGTTTCCCGATTTGACAGGGAGCCTGTGGAGCTGCTGTAGGATGGGGGTGATGTGATGAAATGAGGAGGTTCTGGAGATGATGAAAGAGGAGAGAATTACAATCGTCAAAGCGGGAAGTGACGAGGCTGTGGACAAGGATAGAAGCAGTATGGGGGCTGAGGGAGGGGCGGAGACGATTAATGTTGCGGAGGGGGAAATATGCAGAACGGGTGATGTTACTGATGTGAGATTGGACGGAAAGGCATAAATGCATATCTGTCCTCATTATCAGAAACGTAAAGTTTGCTTCTTCTAGACTTTTGTTGTGGGTTCTTGTGCACTTGCACATGAACAAACAAAACAGGGACCCACATGTAGTAACAGTGCACCAAAGTGCTATGAGTGGGCAGCATCCACGGTTTGATTCCAGCACCAAGCCTGTGTTGCTTCCCGTCTATTGCTTGTCTTCCTTCAATTCCATCATGTGATACTGATGTGTAATCTTCATCCTGACAGTCAGTCATCTTATTTTTCTTCTCCACATCACTTACAGGATGTGAGTGTGGCGTTTATTATTTCTGGGGCACTCCATGTCTACCAACGCATGATAGACCGTGAGGAGGAGAGCCTGCTTTTTGTTACCCACCCAGGAGAGATGGTGGGTCACCTGGCTGTTCTCACAGGGGAACCCCTCATCTTCACTGTGCGAGCGCACCGAGATTGCACCTTCCTCTCCATATCCAAGGCCCACTTCTATGAGTAGGATCAAGTTCACACATAAAACATTCAGTCATTTGTTTGAGTTTCTTCCCATGTTCACCAACACACAAACACATCTATATTGTCAATTTTGCAGGATGATGCGCGAGGAGCCCAGGGTGGTGCTGAATGTAGCTCACACAGTGGTGAAAAGGGTGTCACCATTTGTCAGACAGATCGACTTTGCTCTTGACTGGATGGCTACAGAGGCTGGTCGTGCTGTCTACAGGTATTCTTACTAAAACAATGAATGCATTGTTGATATAAATTTTAATGAAATTCACTTAATAACCTTTATTACTCCATAGAAACAGGGATTAGATTAGTTACACCTTACAATTTATTTCCATCTCTTTCTCATGCCACTTTATTTCAATCATGCATGTAAAGTGACAGCACCACAGCAAGTACTGTATTATAGCAATATATGAATGAAAAAGAAATTATGACAAAAGAAATTATCCTTATTTGTGTGGGGTTTGCCGAATTTTGTCCATTTGGGTTTCTTGATTGTTTTTAGACAGGGAGACAAGTCAGACAGCACCTTCATCGTCCTCAGTGGTCGACTGCGCTCTGTTATTGCAAAGGATGATGGGAAGAAAGAGCTGGCTGGGGAGTATGGCCGTGGGGATCTAATTGGTGTGGTGAGTTTCCTGAAATGTGGCTTTTGTGTGAGTTTGGAAAATAAACAGGAACATGTTCAATAGAAAGGAAAATATGTGGAAAAACAGCAATTTGTACTGTAACATTCATTTTGTGGTTTTACAAGGTTGAGGCTCTGACACACATGAACCGAGCCACCACGGTCCACGCTGTCAGAGACTCTGAGCTGGCCAAGCTGCCTGAAGGAGCTCTGAACTCCATCAAGAGGAGATATCCTCAGGTTGTCACCAGGCTGATTCATCTGCTGGGGCAAAAGATCCTAGGCAACATGCAGCAGGTCAACGGACCTCTGGCTGGTAATCTTTTACTGTTTTGTCAGTATGTGTCTCAGGATAAGACTGAATTTAGCCGGTCTGTCTGCAATATAAACATCACAAGTCATCAAAAGGAGATTTATGACACTGTTGTAGCCTGAAACCACAAAAGAATACCAAAATGTATTGTATCCCAGTTCAACATTAGGATTGTAACTAACAATTATTTTTATTGTCAACAGTGGTTAATTATTTGCTTAATGAATCAATAAGTTGTCTGGTCTATAAAATGTGAGAAAATGGTGAAAAATGTCAGTGTTTCACAAAGCTCAAGATGTCGTCCACAAATGTCTTCTTTTTCCACAACCCAAAAACATTCGGTTTACTGTCATGGAGCAGTATGAAAAAATGCCAGATTTAAATGCTGGAATCAGAAAGTTGATTTTTGTTCTTAAATAATTACTCAAACCAATTAATGTATTATTAATGCATTAATCTATTAATTGTTGCAGCTCAGTTCAGTAGTAATGAGCATATATTGTTTGAAGAAGTGGGCGAAGCTACTGTGACGTCATCCATTGGTTTTTGGATGATTTGAATCATCGAGTTTGGCACTTAGGCTGTCTATCGTCTATAACTGAGAATCACACACTGTCTGTGTAGTAACACCGGTTACCAGCCCAGTGGAGCCATATCAAACCGCTAAGTTATTAGCTAATAGTAACACTGACTAGCTAGCTTGTGCATTCCCAATTTACATTAACTGTAAAAGTAATTAGGATGATTATTTTGGCTGGCAAAAAATTTGCTTTGTGGAACATATACTGAGCCCACTCAATAATGTCTTTCAGTACATTCAAATGCTCATCCAGACAATTTTAGCCAAACCAAATGTTACAAATACATTTCATGAACTGAAAAGACACTATGAAAAGATTCCATCATACAAACACAGATAACACCCAAAAACAAGTCCACCGCTATTTTAAATGTACACAGTGCTACAGACGAGCATTGCTACACCTTTGTCCTGATTGACAGGTTGCCATGGTTGCAACTTGTCAATCACCAGGTACCCCCACCCTAAGACATACCCTGATTTATCATCTATTTTACCATAAGTGGAACCATGAATGAGACCCATACTGTAATAAAAGAAACTTGCAGCTGTGACCATAAACTAATTAGGGAAATCTTTACTGAGGTACAAATGAGAAGTAGACTAATTTTCTCATAGACAGTTGCACTTCTTTTTGCAACCAGAGGAGTCATACCATGCTGGCCTTCAAAAGAGAATACACCTTTAACACATATAGCAAAAATGATAGTGAAGTGCTTCCAGACTATTAGGTACTACAAAATGGACTGGCTAAGTGAGTGAGTGCATTGGTTTCACTTTTCAGATCCAGATGCTACATCTCCTACTTTTACACACAGTCCATTGAAACAAACTGAAAATCCAATTTGTACGATTGTGAAATTCTGCCTATCCAAGACAAAGAACAGTAACTGCATGTTGACAAAAGACCAGACTCTAAATTTGTCACACCGCACTTCTTTATTGATAAGGGGACAGGTAAAAACCAAAGTGGAATCATTAAACTCTGGCTAGTCAAAGCTATCCAATGAAAAAGTCTTACCGAAACATAAGTTTATCATCTTTCACTGTTTCTTGGCCTGCAGGTCGTAGCCTGGCTCTCCACACTCCGACCAGTAAGTGGGATGCTGGGAACCCAGCTTCTAACTTGTCCACTGTGACCATCCTGCCTGTGTCTGAGGAGGTTCCCCTCACTGCCTTCACTCTGGAGCTGCAGCATGCACTCAGTGGCATTGGTATACACACACACACACACACACACACACACAAATACAGATAAGCACACAAAACGAGTGCTTTGTCTATTTGGTTAATTGAGTAGCAATATTGTTTGCCAATGTGTATGGAGAGAAACTGAATCTCAAGCTGTATGTGTGTTCTCACATTTGTGAATGTGTACAAGAATCTATAAATGTGAAATAAGATTAGAAAGTATCCTGAGATTTTTGAGTGTGTAAAAGAATGTGTGTGTGCGTGCATGTGTGTGTGAAAATTATACGGTCATGTGCAGAAGTAAAGGCCTTTGCCAACACATACCTATCTTATTTTTGCTTTTAGACTCATCTGGGATGTCCACCATGCACTGTCCAACACTGTCATTCATAGCAATAGCTATTTTATAAACATGTTTGATTTTTCTTTGGGATTCAGGCCCCACTCTACTACTAACCAGTGACATCATCAAACAGAGACTGGGCGCTGCTGCTCTGGACAGGTAAATAATCGAATGGCTGAAAGGTGAATAGGAAATAAGGGCCTACAGTTGACTACTTGAGTTTGTTTTTTTATGTTTTACACATACACTTTTCTCTCTTCTTTTTGTGATCATGTATTTGTAGAGAGCAAGAGATATATACATCATGAAGTAAATATAATGTTTGTACAGTTTATGAAACACAAAGATCAGGATGCAGTTTGATCAGTGCGTGATGGCACCAGGTAACATTTGATGTGTGCAAATATGGCTTTAGTTGAAACTCAGTACAGTCATGTATTTAGGTTGATCTAACTGCGATTCAGTGACATGTTTGTACTCCATCTTTTAAAGTGTCCATGAGTACCGTCTGTCTAGCTGGCTCGGTCAGCAGGAAGACATCCATCGCATCGTCCTCTACCAGTCCGACCCCAGCTTAACGCCTTGGACCCAGCGCTGCATCCGCCAGGCCGACTGCATCATCATTGTGGGGCTGGGTGAACAGGAGCCTACTGTCGGAGAGGTTGGTGTAAATGCATGCCTACTTCTTAAGCTGCTGGAGTTTTTGTGTTTTTTCATGCATAAAGTGCAATGCATGATATAAAAAAATATCAGAGTTAAATATTATCAGCTCTGTAAATTCACTTGAATTTAAACAATGTGACTTGATGTAGCAGGGGCTAGCATCTCACACCCTAGCAAATTCCAATACCATAAACTCAGACCCTCCACTGAATTTGTGATGACTGATGTGACCTTTCATGAGTTTTATATCCTGTACATTCTTTCCAGATGATATGGAAAAGAAATGAGTCAAATCAGAGAATGTACCACATGAAAAAAGTGTTCTTGTTGTTTTTTAAATCAGTCAAACAATGTTAGCACATACAAATTGATGAGAAGTTACTTTTATGTAAAGCATTAGAAATGCTTTCAGTGTTCAATAGATTGTCTGAGGTACTACTGTGCATTCTGTTAGTAAGATAAGGAGAAAGGATCCTGGGGACTGAAGCACGTATCTCAAAAACAGAATGTGGCATTTATACATCTAGTCTATCCAAACTGTAATAGTCAGTAAGTAGCCGACCCCTTCAGAGGATACAGCTTAACCTCTAGACACTGCAGCTGTGATTGTAACATTCAATACAAATCAGCCTTTGTATTTATGAAACCAGCACACTGCGGTGGATCTGCAGTGGCCATAATAAGCTCTCTCTTCTCCACATGTAGTTGGAGCGAATGTTAGAGGGTAGTGCTGTTCGGGCTCAGAAGCAGCTAGTGCTGCTGCACAGGGAGGACGGCCCGCCGCCCAAAGGGACAGCTGAGTGGCTGAACATGCGGAGCTGGATCTCCAGACATCATCACCTGTCGTGTCCCCGCAGAGTGTTCTCCAGGAGGAGTTTACCTAAGCTGGTAAAAAGCATCAAGTCTTTTATGGCCGGTTCTGCTCTCCTTAGCAGATGCTTTATTTCTTTTACGTTTGTGCATTTTCAGAGAGAGTTGTACCAGCGTGTGTTTGAAAAATGTCCAGATCGTCATTCTGACTTCTCCCGCCTGGCCAGGATCCTGACAGGAAACAGCATCGCCTTGGTGTTGGGTGGAGGGGGCGCCAGGTACTGCTGCTTTACACACAAACATATTCAGCATCTGAGCAAAAAACTATAAATCCTATAGTCACAATCTGAGCCACAATTTTAGATCTTGATACTTCCACGTACAGTATAAGCTATATTTTTCCGTAATGAACCTTTGAGTAAAGTTTTGAAATCTGTTATTAAAGCACCAAACAAGGATAAACTTGTGCAAACCTTCATTGCTAACGAGTGTTGAACTCATTGTAATTTATACCTTCCCAAAAAAATCACAGAAACAAACATAGAATTCATCTTTAAAGAGGCAAAGCTTTGATTATTGAGAAGTACAGTGAAAACAAATTTTAGTATCAGAATTTTGTTTCTCATTTTACATGGCGCTGGTAGGGCTGAACAATTTGGGGTAAATGTGTGCTTACAATTTTTCTGAGCGATACTGTGATTGCATGTGGTTTGCCAAATAGCTTCACATGAGTGTTTGCTGTCTATTGGATTTAAATTATGTGAAGAAGCATTACTAAATGAGACGCCATAAAACATTTGACTCATACAAGGTGATAATAACATGAATTCATGAAACCATTGATACGACAGGTTAGACTTTGGGTCAGATGTGCTGCATAATGTATACCCTTAATTGCAAACAATTTGCTGATTGAATTGTCTCCAATTATAAATTTAGTTTAAAATCGAGTAATTGTTCAACTCTAGCATGCTGCATGTGCTTGTTTGTGTATGTTTGTGCATATTAGTGCATGTTAGTCCTTCTTTTGACATTGCTGGCCCTCTCTATATTTATAAACAGGCTGAGAGTGACCTGTTACACTGCATTGAAAAGTGAAAGTGCAGTTCAGAGCTGGTGCCCCACAAAAGCCAAAGAACCTAAAATATAAATCATTTCATTTATGTTTATTACCTAGATTATCTGCCCTTGTTTCATTTCTTCTCAGGTGAGATTCTGTATTGCTGTTTTGCAGCTCTCTTCCTCTCCTCCTCCACTTGTCTGATTCTTTCTGCTATGTGAGCTTTCTCACAAGCAGAGACGTGAGTGGAGGAGAGACCTGTTACGGCCACAATATATTTTAAAGCGTTGCCGTGACCTAGTGGTTGTGGCCAGATTATTTTTGGTTGGCCCCTGTGCACACAACCTTTCTGGTTGTACATGAACATGAAGGGAGGGGGAGGTGTGACCAACATGTACATTTGTTTTAGTCTGAGGTGGTCCACTGATTCTGAATGCCACATACAGAACATTTAAAGCAAAGCTGAAGCTGTATTAGCATCACCAGGACAATTGTTTTTTGTTTCTTTGTGTGGATTATAAGTAATTATTTGTCTTCTGATAAATCTGTTTCTTTTTCTCACTGCTCTGACTTATCCTGGAGCTCTGGCAAGGTAGGGACTGTGTTCCTGTCAGATATGACCTGAGACACCTGGTGGACACATGACTACAGCATTATGCTTTTACATGTGTCCATTTCCTGTGAACAGTTCCTGCACCCAGAGACAGCTGAGATTTCTCTATGAGTATTCAGGAAGTAACATTTCTGACAAAAGTGTTTGCCACATTAATACAGCAGTATTGTAAAATGTTCATATGTGTGTGGGGGCTGCAAGATGGCGCAGTTGCTAGCACTGTGGCCTCGCAGCAAGAAGATCACCAATTCTGCGTGTCGGTGAGGAGACCAGGATCTTTCTGTGTGGAGTTTGCATGTTCTCCCCGTGCAGCGTGGGTTCTCTCCGGGTTCTCCAGCTTCCTCCCACAGTCCAAAAACATGTTGAGGTTAATTGGTGATTCTAAATTGTCCGTAGGTGTGAATGTGAGTGTGCTTGGTTGTCTGTTTAAGTGTAGCCCCGTGATAGACTGGTGACCTGTCCAGGGTGTCCCCTGGGATAGACTCCAGCCCCCCGCAATCCCAGTGAGGATTAAGTGGTTTATAGATAATGTGTGGATATGTCTGTGGTCCAGCAACTAACACTGCTGCCAGGTACAGAGTTGAAACCTGCTCACTGACGATCACACATACAGTGATTACAGATACCCACTAAAAAATGGCTGTGGATTTAAAGCCACCAGCAGCCATAATGCATGGAACACTCACATGCCTGGATCGTGAGGTTAAATGCTTGTAATATGACTGCTTTATTACACACTCTTTTCTGGCATTGATGGACATTTTACTCTTTTTAACATGTAAAAGTCTATTATGACGGTAACATATAAGCATTTAATTTATAACGAGAAATGTAGTTTTGTCAAACAACAGATGAAGTGATGTGTTGTTAGTTTCTTGTGAAAACAAAATGAACATGGAAGTAACGAGGGGATATGTCATTGTAAGGCAGTGGTCGCTGGTGAAAACTTTTGGTGCGGGGCACAGTCTGCAAATGACCTTTTATTTAAATCAGAAATTAGAATATGAGTTACATCAGGCACAACCATTTACAGGAATGCACATTTTCTACCTTTGAAGGATATTCTAATCATAATCTAATTTAACATTATCAAGACTTCCCAGAACTAAATTTCAAAACCATTCATCAAACTTTCATCAGTATTTACAGGATCTGTACAAACTCAAAACACACAACATACATAATGAAACAAACACTGTTCAGTGCTCCAGACTAACCCTTTCACTGGTAGCATTGGTACGACCCACTTTCTCATTTTGTTGCACCTCCCACCTGGTCACAGGCAAAACATAGACTTGCTGAACATTTTCTTATCGATAGACGCTACGATTTACTGATGCTCCCTAAACGCCCCACAGAGCAGGCTGTGGTAGCTGCTGTTTGGTGGCTGTGGTGTGCTCTGACTGGTGTGGGACCAAAAATAATTGAAAAAGAATAAACTCGGGCATTCTCATGTCAGATTTGTCTGAGGTTAAACTGAGTTACATGTATTCTACACGCGGCCTTTTCTATGAGTAGTCTTTTCTCCATTGACAGCAGGCCGATGCATTAAGCCCCAGTAGCTGTCCACTAGTAGAAGAGGAGGACGAGGTCAGAAAGCGCAGTCGTAGGAACGTCAAAGGACAGTTTTGATATCCCACCACAGAAGACAAAAGCAAATAAAGACAAAATTAACTGGCTTACAGCAAAAGTGGACAGATCCGGTGTTGTGCCGAAAAAAAGCAGCCCCTCTCAAGGAGCGCAGTGACAGCCATTCACCTGTAGATGAAAATAAAAAAAGTCTAACAGTAATAGTTAATATTTGTCTGTGCATGGTCATGTGGAAATAATAAGAACAACAGGGATAGATTTGGTCTGAGCATACTGTGACAAGTTAAAAATGCATCCCTCCAGATGTACTGGGGGTGGGGGTGCATATTCTGGCAATGGGGTCTGCCGGAATATGCACCCCCCTCTATTTCTGATCCCAAAGGACTTAAAGCCACCAAATTCACAGCATTTATTGATGATCATGGTCTGAGCATAATCTGAAAAGTTAAAAATGCTGGGACCAACAGAGACAGATTTACTGGGGGGGTGCATATTCCGGCACTCCTTGAGAGGGGGTGCTTTTTCCAGCAGGGGTGCTTTTTTTCGGCACAACACCGGCGCCCCGCATCCAGGAAGTGTAAAATGAGTCAACACACAGTAAAGACTCATATTAAATCTGTGAATAATACAAATATTGTTAATATAGAACAAGAATATGAACATTATTATTAATTTTATTATTATTTTGTTGTAATTCATTCAAATTTAATTTCACATTTGAGAACTACTTTTTATGTGGTCATTAGTAGTGGGGCGGTGCCCCTGCGCCCTGTATTAACCAGTCGCCACTGTGTACGGTGAAAATGTTCTTTCCAAAGTTTCTTGTAAAAAAGAGGAACTGGGGCAGTAACATACTGCTGTGTTGTATCTGAAGGTAATAACAGAAGAGTCAAACTTAGACAAAATGAAACCAACATGCAGTTATGTCACTACAGATAGGGTTTTCTTTGTTCTTTAAAAAATTAGGCGGTAAATACGAGACTGAACATGTTAAAACTAGCATTTTGACAGTGTTTTCCAAGATATAATGTAAATTAATCTCTTTTCAGAGGCACCTCTCAGGTCGGTATCCTACGGGCACTGAACGAGGCAGGCATCCCTATTGACATGGTGGGTGGCACCTCCATCGGCTCTTTCATGGGAGCCCTGTACGCTGAGGAGAAGAGCAACAGCCGGATGAGGGTCAGAGCCCGCGAGTGGGCCATGGTGTGTGGAAGTCATACTGTAGATAGGGAAAAACTTACGTACAAAACCCTTTTGTCCTGTTATTCTGACATCTGCTCTCATATTTATCAGGATTTCTCCAATGTTTTCTCTTCTTCATACTAGTTTTCATTTCACAATTTTAAGTTCCCGGACAAGTTTGTTCCTGATCGATAAATGTACGTTTTTCTTCACTTTGCTTTGTAACATCTTTTCTTCCTCAGGATATGACCTCTTACTTTAAGAAGATCTTGGATCTGACCTACCCGGTTACCTCCATGTTTTCAGGAGCTTCCTTTAACTCCAGCATTAGCTCTGTCTTCAAGGACAAACAGATAGAGGTAAGTTAAGGGACGTCTTCAACCCTCTGAACTCGTAGCAGTTTCTACATGTTTTTTGCTCCCGTTGAGGTTTTAGATTCCGATTCAGATTTGCTTTATTGTCATTGCAACGAGTACACGAAAAGCAAGATGCAGGCCTTTCAGTGCAAAAAATATTTTTAAAAAATTTTGTAAACATATATATATATATATGATTAAATAAGCGTGTGCTTATTATTTCATTTAATCTTTTTATAGAGTTTTTTTTAAGGTTTTACTCACTGTAGGATCATTTTATACCATATTATAAAGTGCTGCACCTCAGATGGCTACATGTATTTCACTACTTATATTTACATTTCAGCTAAAATGCACCTTTTTTTTTTTTTTTTGTCAAGATGATTCATTACAGCTGAGTCACTCAGGCTGCTCAGTTGCACAGTGGATCACTGAATTTTTTGTTTTTTACAGAATCTGATGCAAAAGGTTAATGCTTTTTTGCCCACTTACGTACCATGCCCTCCAGCAAACCCACCAGAAGGTTTTGGGATTCAGAAAGTAAAACAAGTTTTTAGCAGGCAGACAGAAGGGATTTCTCACTTTGTATAATTTAAAAGAAAACTGGAATTGTTCCAAACTACTTAACACCTTTACTAGTTTTTTATAAGAATAATTCAGGTTTTGTCGACAGAGTGTGACTACCGTCCAGTCTATAGCATCTTTTGTTCATGAATGTGTCTTTAATCTGACAATATGCAGTATTATTTGAATTTAGTCACCACAGCTGACATGTCGCTTTTGTTTTGCATTTGAAAAAGCTGCTCTTTAAATGTTCCATAAGAACTTACTAGCTGGCATCTAATACACACGGTGCATTTGTTGCAAAGCAATAGTACTTGTAAGAATGTGCCTTTCCATGCCAATATTTTTTCTGTTTTTTTTTTTTTACCCCCTCTCCACTGTTAGGACCTGTGGTTACCATATTTCAACATTACAACTGACATCACTGCTTCCTCTATGAGAGTTCACACTGACGGTGGGTCACACTTTGCTTCTTTTATAGAAATTCACTGACTTGTTTGTTGTTTTGAAAATGGAAAAAGTTAATTTTTATTTCACGCTTACTATTTATATATTACTAAATTAATCAAAGTGTTATGGAATGCTGTCATTTTATACTGTACTGTGCTCTCCTGCAGCTAGTTTTTTGAAAATTGAAAAAAAAAAAGTTAAATTTGTCTTTTCTTTCTGTTTGTCCTCTTGTCTCTCCTCTTCAGGTTCGCTGTGGCGGTATGTCCGGGCCAGTATGTCACTGTCTGGTTACCTGCCTCCTCTCTGTGATCCCAAAGATGGACACTTACTCATGGATGGAGGGTACATCAACAACCTTCCTGGTGAGAGATGCTGACAGGGTGGTTTGTTGTTTGTGCTTTGTACACATATGGTTTTTGGTTATAGCAATACACACAGCGAACACAATGTCGAGATGAAAGTCACTCATCTATCGTCTATTGTATGCACTGATTGTAGTTTTGGGATTTCATCACAAATGTTTTAGGAAAGGATATAGTGTCACGTTACAGCCTTTTTGCTGGTTTGTTCTTAGTAGTTGCTCACAGTATTGCAACAGAAAAAAAATCCGTACAGCCTAAGTTTTACCTTCCACACCTTTACAAAAGAGACATCTTTGAAACTGTTGACAACTGTTAAGTCTACCTTAAGAATTTATTTTTTGCCTCTGCACCTGCAATGGCTGAGGCCAGAGGCATAACATTTTCTGGATGTTTATCTGTTCCATTCATATTTCAGAAATACTTGGAGGGATTTTTTATTTTTTTTTCCAAATTCGGCGTAAATGTCTACTTGAACTCAAGTAGAATTTGGTGATCAAAGGTCACTGTGACCTCACAAAACCTATTTTTGATCATAACTCAACAATTTATGTGCTAATTATAACAACATTTCTCACAATTCTACAATCTAATACAATACTTAAATGATGGCATTGAATATTCAAAAGGGCAAAAGTCACCTTCACTGTGACAGAATAATGTTCTGTGAAAGCATTATTCTGATCATTATTCACCTCCAAAACTAAAGAACCGAAGGTGAGAGTGTGACCGTATTTCTCATTTGGACAGAACATGAGACAAATGTTAGGTGCCCACAGGGTTTCAGACTCACTTTTTCACTGGTTGCACTGATGCGACCAACTTTCTCATTTGGTGGCACCTCCCACCTGGTCACAGGCAAAACACATCACTGATGAACATCTGCTTATCGATAGTCACTACAATTTACCAGTGTTCCCTAAACACCCCACATTGCAGGCTGTGGTAGATGGTGCTTGGTGACTGCAGTGTGCTCAGACAGGTGTGTGAGCAAAAAATACTTTGAAAACAGTTAAACTAGCACGTTCTAATGTCAGATTTGTTCGAGATGAAACTGTGTGATTTTTTTGTACCATGTGCAGCATAGCTACATGTACTGTTCCACTCATAGACAACAGCCAATGCAGGTGCACACAGCATCGTGCGGGAAGACCGTATTTTTAAGCATAAATAGTCCAAAGTTCTAAAAATGCTGCTTTCCACCACTGTGGTTAACACAGTAGCTGCCTATGCTAGTTCTGTGACACTAATACAGCTGAATGATCATCACGTACTCACACGAATGCAACTACTTAAAACTTTAACTCCCACACTCTCAGAAAACGCTTGCATATGCAACCAAAATGGTTGCAGTCTGGAGCCCTGGCCCATCTTAAACTATTGATTGTATAGCTCTTCTGTGCTGCTGAGTTGAAAGTGTGTCTAGAACATCTATGTTGTAGAATCTGAGGCTTCTATGCAGCAACATCCATGTCTGAAGTCATTGGCACTGTCATGGCTACAACTTTGTCTTCACTACATATTTTTTATGAATGTGAACAGACATGGTCACACAACTGCAAGGTGGTAATTCCAGAGGACTCACCTAGTTTTACTGTACAGTTGTAAAACATTCAGAGAGACTAGAAAATACACTAATGCACATGCAATGGGGCACATCATGTCAGACTTTATTGTTCATAACAAGAAGGTGAACTTTTTCCTCCACACAGTCACTAAGTGCTTCTTCGATGGGAAATAGTTGAGTTACTTTCTATAAAGTAATACTGTAAAGGCCTTTACTTTGCTATGTAAGTAACCTGCAATGACATACAATTTCATTTATCTTTATGTAAACAACATTTAATTATGTCTTTCCTGTTTTGGTATCCAGCCGACGTGGCTCGCTCCATGGGGGCCAAGGTTGTAATTGCAATCGATGTTGGAAGCCGGGACGAGACCAATCTAACCAACTATGGTGACTGTCTGAACGGCTGGTGGCTGCTGTGGAAGCGATTAAATCCACTGGCTGAGAAAATCAAGGTAGACTGACCTCACCACAGATGTCCTCTGTGTAGTTAGGGCCTTTTACTTGTACCTAAAACTGAGGCAGACACTGCAAACTGACTCAATGTATTTCCCTTCCAGGTCCTGAACATGGCAGAGATCCAAACCCGGCTTGCGTATGTCTGCTGTGTGCGGCAGCTGGAACTCGTCCGAGACAGTGAATACTGCGAGTACATCCGACCACCTATCGACCGCTACGGCACACTAGAGTTTGGCAAGTTCGATGAGATTGCGGTGAGCTTCCTATCTTTTTCTACACATTTTCTCTGTGTCTTTGTGAATTTGCTGGCTGTGAATCTCCCCCGACCCTCCTTGGATGTAATGTAGGATGTGGGCTACCAGCATGGGAAGACATTGTTCGATGTGTGGCAGCGCAGCGGCGTGGTGGACAGCATGTTGAAGGACAGACATCAGGAGGAGTTCCACAAGACCACAACTGGCCATGTGAGTGCAACTGACAATAAACATACCAATAGTTAATTTTTTTTAAATAGATTATTCAGCCATGATCATGTTTTGTTTTTATAACTGGCATTCATTTTAATTTATCTAAAACTGACCGCTGTACAGAATTTGTCTTGATAGATGATGATGATGATGATGATGATGATGATGATGATGATGATGATGATGATGATTGTGATTTTCAGTCATTTGTGTGATGTTGTCAGATGTCTATGTGAGGTGGACCTTGAGGTGAACAACAATAATTCTTTTTCAATTCAAAAGCGTGGGCTTCAGCTTACTCTGAAAGTCATACTGTTAACGCATGTCTGCAAAGGGCTAGACTATTCTGTACAACATAGAATAAAAAAGAATTGAATAGAGGGCCTGTATTGTCACTGTATTACATACAGTGGAATTAGACAATAAGACAAAAGTACAACATTCCTGATGGAATTAGACAATAAGACAAAAGTACAAGTACAAAAAGAGAATATATGCACAGCTATTTCACATTGGTAAGGTTTATTGCACACATATTTTGTGTATAGTTTAATTTAAATTTCTAATTTCTTCGTTTGAGTGATGCAATGTTTCTTTCAGGTTGTCACATGTCCAAACGCCTCCTTCACCGACCTGGCAGAGATTGTGTCGAGAATCGAACCTGTGAAGAACGCCTTAATCGAGGGTTAGTTAACAGTAAAATAGTGAATTTGGAAAACAAAGAACTGCTTGTAACTTGTATTATTAAGGTGTTGGAAGAGGAAGAAGGCTGAACTGTTTAACTTTTTGAAAAACATTAAATGTTGAAAGAACCCACTATCCTTTGTCTCTTGTAGTTTTCACACCCCAAATGTTATCATTTTAAATGAGACTCACTTGGAAAGGTACAGTATGTGCTCATGCTGTTTGTTGTTTGTTGTGGCTCCAGAGGACCTGTCTGATGAATACCAGACTGACTATGATGAAGAGGCGGTGGAAAGTGCACTGTCTGACTTTGAGGCATTCGCCCCTGGAAGTGAACACACTGAGGGAGAGGATACAGCAGACACTGCTGAAACGGTGTGTATTACACCAGCATCATTATCAAATAAATGTAATGAGCTGAATTTAAATGACCAAAAGTGAAGGTGCATCTCTGTTTTATTCTGATTCTCACAGGATGAAGAAATTCAGATTAGAGTTCGACACCGGGGGAAGAATGCCCCACAAAGTGGTCGGCTGTGATGGCCTGCCAGGGCTGCTACTGACTATTGAGCACAGCACACATTTTTCAGCGCACTGTGTGCTCTGATCCAATGAGCAGCCAGGTACCACACTCACTGTACGCTTCTCTGGTGATGGATATATTGCCTTAAGCTGTCTGCAGACAGTGAGCGGTGGTGGTCATGGCCGCCACTTGTAACCTTACCAGCCTGAACAGCACAGACTGCTGGCATGAACTGTTGGACTGCTGCTTAAAATAGGGACAACGTGGTCTACTATTATAAATAATGATTGTTGCCTCTAGTAGGATAATCCGACCTAAAGCTGGTGTTGCTCCCATACGGTTTCTCTCCATTAAACTATCTGCTGGTAAAGATGTGTCATTCACAGTACCTGTGAAATCACCTCCTGCATCATCTCTTTCTGTATTTTGTTGGTTGCCATGGTCGCATGTTGTGACCTCCATGCCTTCAGCATGCTGCTATGTTTATTCTGAAATCAGCGTAAGTTTACCAACAACCCCAGCTCCAGTGTGTCTTAACCATCAAAAAAAATGTACAAAAATAAAAAAAAACTCCAACAATTCTCTGTGGGAAGTCAGAAACCAGCAGAGAATTTTACAATACTTAGGGCTGATTCACATGAATCTCTTTCAGCTCGTATCATTCATTCATTGAATTGTATGGCAGTCAAAAGCTCTCTTGTAATGACAATAGGGCAGGGCATACATCTGTTACTGGATCACTGATCTTTACCATTTATAGACTCCATAGAAGCACACCACGCACAAATACCCTACAGTTTTCCAACAAAGTATTTCATATTATGCATTGCTACTTTTTGGGACAGTTCTGTGCACAGCTAGTTCCTGCCATAATGATTTCTGATTCATGTATATTGCGTTTTCATACATCTAAGTTAGAAGATGTTTTCTATGCTTACACTACAGTTCAAGTGCAGTGTTATCCTCTTTTTGTCCAGTAATGAAGGGATTTGTCCTCTTTCGGAGCAGAGCTGTCTGCACACCGTGAGTGGGACAGCGGTACTGTGAACAGTGACCTTAATAAGCTTTTTCATGCATGCAAAATCAGTCATGTAGGATTTATAATTTGATCATATTTTTCTACATGAAGCCTGAAAAACATAAACTTATGTTAGCCATTCCGCTGACTTTTCTTCATGGCAGACTTTTCAGCTGTGTCCCAGTTTGATACTATTGCATGCTACAGTAAGTACTAACAGATTGTGAGGGAGTATGCTCGAAAACGTAGTATGTGGTACCCTGATAGCTCAACAGGTTGAGTGGGTGACACACAAACAGGGGCCATGGGTTTGAATCTGGCCCATGGCCATTTGCTGCTGGTCCATTTCCCACTTTTGTCCCTACTTTCATGTCTTCCTCTCTCCACTGACCTGTCCAATGAAGCCAAAAGGCCAAAAAAAATTATGTTTGAAAAAAATAATAAAATAAAAAACACGTTGTATGCAACAGGGAAAGCACAGATGTATTAGTGGTGGCTGCATTCCACTTAGTGGAGGTCCTGCTTTTCTGCACTATGGCTCATTGCCGTGGTTTACTGGGACATTTAATGGAATTAAGCTATCATTCATTCAACCTATTGTGGCAAGATAAAATGTCTGCTATGATGAAGGCCTTTTGTCTTTTAAGGAAATGGAGGAGCTGCTCACAGCTGGGAGAAAGTAAAACTACCAGTACTACATTTTTTGGAAAACATGTTCACTGTGATTTTAAGTCTGTCTAATTCTTCAACACTGTCAGTTGATTTTGTTTTGCACTCACTGCAGGAAAGATTGAACAGTAACAGCTTGTATATGATGCATATGCTGGAATACAGCATTTGACCTTTCATAGCAGGGAAAACACAGGTGTAGCCTGAAGCTGATGATGGGACTAGCATAGCTAAATGAGATGCGGTCAGCATTAATGTTCAAAGCCAGTGTGCTTGGATAAACCCTTCTTGACCCTCAACACTTTCTGCTGCTTTTTGAACTGGCACTAATAAATTGAAAGTTCCAGTTTTTGTAGGTAATGGGAGAAATCTATCGTTCGCCCTTCTAGTAGAAAGATAGCGAAAATCCCTACAGGGAGGATGTTGGTGTGGATGGATGGGTCAAGTAAAGGACGTTCTCCCAGCAGACAAAAAAAAAAGTCACTTGTTATTTTTAGACTAAGTTAACCTGTTATTTTTTATTTTGGTTTTATTTAGTCTTTTTCAGTCTTCAGTCACAGTTTGATCAGATTTAGGCAACTGACTCCTTATTTAGGTTTATTTTTGGGGGGTAAAGGTTACAATAGCCCCTTTCACAATATTAATAATGTGTGAGAAAGCCATGACGACAAACTCTCCCATTTCTTCAAACTTTGGTTTTCATATAATTCATCAGTATGATTATTCAACCAGGATAAGAGTTTGTTAGTTCATTAATTAGTTTCTTGTTTTAATTACACAGTGCCTAGAGATTATTACTAAACCAACCTGACAGTTTTCATGTAGGTTTATAATTACAGTAGCAGCAACAAACAATGCTACATACATGCTTTGTGTCTGAACTTTCTTATGTGAAGCTGTGTGATTGAATGAGATTCTCTGAACATGATTTACAACAGAACTACCTAACACTGGCACGATAATGCAACATTCAGCTTTTTTAAGCTGCCATTTGTCCTTATGAATAACCAGTTTAGTAGCTCATGTAGAATTGATCCATATTGACAGACTGTCTGTATTTTTATGACTGGAATGCAAAGTAAGTTAGTTATTCATATAATGGGTTTTATAATAAATACAGTGTTTGATGTTGTTCATGGTTTTATGTTTTAGGGAGTTACCACTATGTTAGCATATTACCTGTAGAAATATATTTCAGTTTGTCAGTTTGTCAAGAGTTGTATGTTAATTCTTGAAACAGAATGATGTACAATGTTTTATTGATATGACTGTTGTGTGGATAATAGTAACATGTACACTATTTGATAGAATTTGTTTTTTTGTTTTTTTCTGTAATCATTGCTGGTGTGTACGGAGCCCGTCTGGTGACATCGATAAGAAATAAAAATAACTTGTTAACACGCATTAGTAAATTGTGGCCATGAGTTATTAATGCGTGGGAACGACATAGTTAAATTGTGGCCTCGCATTACTAATATGAAGAAACAAGAGAAGTTGTGGAGCAAATTTCACCGTGCGGTCATACCAGCTGTCGGTTAAGGATAATGGGCGGACTTGGATGAAACGTGGAGCATTTTGATTTGATTTTATTTTATTTTAACCTTGGAATGAACTACACCGATATCCTGCGATCTCTTGCGATGAAACACCGTGTGATAATTATGTCGTTCCCACACATTAATATCTTGTGGCCACGATTTACTAATGCGTGGTAACGAGTTATTTTCTTTCTTATCGATGTCACCAGGCGGGCTCCGTAGGTGTGAAAACCAAAACAATGAAAACTGCACAGGTAAGGCCAGAAGATGAATATATTCTGTACAATGTAAATGTACCTGTGTTTTGAAACTTTGTAACACCTGTGCAAATGACATACTGTGGTCGCTCCTTGTCAAATTAGACAAAAATCAGAAAACATGTTGCTGCACCGTCTCAGATTTTGTTCAGTTTATTTGAGTTGTTTGCAGAAGATTCAAATGATTGAATGGCTTCAGCAGATGCAAAGGTTTTAATATCTGGCCCTTGAAAATGAAAGAAAGTGCAAAATTTAAAAATAGAGGGTTGTACTGGGACTCTAGCAAGGGTATATATATATATATATATATATATTTATGGATGTATCCATATTTCCTACTAAAAATACAGTTGTGACACACTTATATGGTGACGTGAACTAATTTGTTTGACATCAGAAACTGATATATATAGCGGAGTATAGATTGTCTTTATATGTGCATAGTTACAATCTGCTTTCATTCAAATTCAGCTACACACGAGGCTTATTTTACAGCAAGGCATCGTTCTTCAGTGAACTTACAGTTTATGAATTTGCTGAAAGGAAATTCTCAACAGCATTTCATTGTCTGGGCTGCAAGGTGGCGCACTGTTGCCTCGCAGCTAGAAGGTCGCCGGGTGGCATCCTGGTGAGGACATCTGGGATCTTTCTGCGTGGAGTTTACATGTTCTCCCCGTGCAGCGTGGGTTCTCTCCAGGTTCTCCAGCTTCCTCCCACACAGTCCAAAAACATGTTGAGGTTAATTGGTGATTCTAAATTGTCCGTAGGTGTGGATGTGAGTGTGCTTGGTTGTCTGTCTCTAGGTGTGGCCCTGTGATAGACTGGTGACCTGTCCAGGGTGTCCCCTGCCTTTATCCTGAGTCAGCTGGGATAGGCTCCAGCCCCCCCACAACCCTAGTGAGGATTAAGCGGTGTGTAGATAATGGATGGATTTCATTGTCTTTGTTGGTCCTATTGTTATGTTGTACTGTCATGCTCTGTCACCCATCCTGGCTCCAACTATGACAAAGGGAGGAAGATGATATAAACCTGACATTAGCACCAACAAAACCCCCACAAGTCTGCTTATGAGTTTTTGAGACTGCCATCTGTACACTGCAGTTTCGAGGAGGAAATGCTTAGTGATGGCGTTGACACCATGTAGGCATGGTAACAAGGTAAACAACAATACCAGCTTGATTTTTACTGGAGCGAGGTGTAGATGAATCATTGATTATTTTCCTGGTATTATAAAATGTGGCATGTGATATATTTCGATCATATCCAGCTGTAATGACAGTGACAAATACTCTGATACGCTGGTTTGACTTAAGCAGAAAGTGTCTTAGATACAACTTTCTGCTTGGGATTGTTAATCAACCCTTTGACTATAAAGCAGGAAGCAGGGACTGATCACAATTAACTTTGCGAAGTACTTTCACTTAAAAAATATATTTTTGGAAGTTTATTCATACGTACGAACGTATCAAAGAACAATGAGGTACTGACGAAATGGGTTTTGTAGTGTTGTGGTTAATTTTGTAGTGTTGCCACCACAACACAACCAAATTAACCACAACACTACAAAGTTAGTCGCAACACAACACAACGGCTGCAACAGAAGTTTTTTTTTTTTAACCCGAAACTTATACTGTGAAGTGCGTAACCACACGAAGTGGGCAGAAGCCGGAGATTGTTGGAAACAACTCGAGAAGTAAGTAAAACACTGATGGCAAATAGTGTCCATTAATCTCGGTATGCACTATTATAAACGTTATTTACTATCAGTATTTTATTTCTTGAGTTGTTTCCAACAATCTCCGGCTTCTGCCCACTTCGTGTGGTTATGCACTTCACAGTATAACTTCTGGGTTAAAAAAAAAAACTTCCGTTGCAGCCATTGTGTTGTGTTGCAGCTTATTTTGTAGTGTTGTGGTTAATTTGGTTGTGTTGTGGCTTTTGTTTTGTTGTGACACCTCTGGGCCACCGTACATTGGTCTTCTTCAGTGTATCACTCCTGAGACAGGTTCACCAAAAAGCTAAAGAACATATTTACCCAAGAAGTTAAATGTATTATCTGTTGTTTCTTATTTCACGTGTAACATCTGTGCAGTGGTTTACTTTTACTCCACTGTCAAACAAACTTTGTATAACATAAAACCTTACATAAGTCACAGTTAAAGCGATACCAGAATTACCACTTTTCTAGGAATGAATCGAAAATATTTCTGATGCACACCTCCTGACAATTTATTTATTGTTTTACTGATAATATCTGTACCTTAGAAGTAGGTTTATGAGTTCAGGACTTTGACTTTTAAGATAAGAGAAGATATGTAAGACACGTACAGTCATATTTTTCCATTGTTGCCTCACTACTTTATAGACTACGTGTCAGGCTAAATGTTACAGGTATTCAGGGTGTGTTTCACAAGCAAAAAGCAACTTAGAAAAGTCAGTCAATTGTAAAACCTGTGTTGTTATTAAAAATGTTATTGTGATCAAATCTGTGTGTGAACAGACAACAAGCAGTTTGTCCTTATTTAAAAATGCCACAGCTTAGCCCTAACAACTGATTTAAT